GACTTCAAGTTTCCCCATGTATCAATGCGGGGAATCACTGTTTCCGGTTGCATGGAGTTGTCGGATTTCACTAAGTACAGTCACGCGCCACATTAGTGACATTTCAGTCAACATCAAGCCGCATGTACGGCAGTGGCCCCGTAAGATTATAATGGAGCTGGAAGACTCCCATCACCCAGCGGCATCCTGGTGCAACGCATCACAACTGTCTGCAGTGTGCAGGACAGCAGCAGGCTGCAGAGGCTCGCAGCCCAGCTGTGCACCACCTAGGTGTGTGTAAGTGCAGGCTGTGATGGTCGCACCAGGATAATAAGGTCACCTAATGACGCACTGGCGCTTGACTGTAACACCTGTCACGTGAATGGCACACGGACAACTAGCGGGGGGTGTCTGTGTTGGCCAGGTGGGCTTCCGCTGGAGCGAGGGTCAGGGCAGAGGGGCCCGCTGGTGCCTGCTGTTCATGAAGGGAGCCCACGCCGGAATACGGAGTTTGTTTTGTATCCTGTGTCCCCAGAAGCTCGGGAAGGAATTTATACAGGGGCGAGCTCTGCTTAGATGTGCATTTTGGAGCCACCCCCAGGCAAAGAGCCCAAGCGTGGATCCAACTGAGGTGATGGGGAGACGGTTACACGGGCAGGGTTGTGGGGGTGGGGGTGGGGGTGGGGTTCTGCTCACTCTCTAGCAGGTCCACCTCGAAGTCCCTGGTGGGCAGCCGCACAGAGTTGAAGCCCCAGGTGGGGACATGGCCTTCCAGCGGCGGCTTCCCGGACAGCACACGCAGGAACGTGCTCTTCCCGGAGCCATCCAGGCCCAGCACCAGCACCTCGCGCTGCTCCAACTCCTCCAGCACCGGCTCTTCGTCCTCCTCGTCCTCGGGCTGCGGGGCACAGGTCGGGCTGCGGCTTCACCCTCCTGCCTCGTTCTTCCCGAGGGGAGGCCGCAGGCACCAAACCGCCCATCCCCGCCCTCCACCTGTTCAGGGCAGGCAGCGCAGCCAGAGGCAACGGGAAGAGCGCGGCCTCGCAGTCCCGAGTCCCCAACCTCATTCTGCAGGTTCTCCCTGCGTGACCTCGTGCGAAGGGCGAGCCCACCCCCACCCCCACCCCCCTGACCTCTAGCACGTGGGCAAAGGGCGAACTCCCTTTGCCCACGTGCTAGGGCCGCTACGACGACGGAGTGGGGAGGGTGACGCCGCGCAGCCACGAGCTCCCGGAGGGAACCCTAGGACCTCTCGCGACATCCCGAGCCGCACACCGCGCGCACTGCGCAGGCGCTGGGCGGGCGCCGGCTGCACCAGGTGCGGCCCTGATACAGCTCGGGAGGTAGCTGGCGTCCAGCGGCGGCAGTACCCCCAGCCCCCACCCCAAACCTCCACCCGTCCCTCGGTTCCGCGGCTCACGACGGCCCGGCTGCCCACGCGGGGCCTGCGGGCGGCAGCTCCAACCCTGGAACCAGGCCCTGCCGTGGCTCGCGGGGAGGCGCCGATCCCAGCCCGACACTCACGTCCCACTCGTCCCACTCGGGGAGGCGGACGGGCTCCACGCCCCACCAGCCTTCGCCGCGGTCCCAGCGCCGTTCCTGTCCGCGGCCGAAGTAGGCCTTCCAGAGGATGAAGAGCACCGAGCCGAGCACGGCCGCGGCGCCGCCTAGCGCCACTACCAGAGAGCTCAGCGGCCGCGGCGCCATCGGGCCGGGCGCGGGTGCTCTGGCCGAACCAGCCTGCGGGCCGAAGATGGCCCCACTGCGACTGCTGCAGCCGCGCCCACCCACCCAGCCCAGCCCCGCACTACAAGCCCCACAATGCACCACCGCCGTCGCGACTGGCTGCCCGCGCCCCGGCGGCGGGATTGGGGGCGCGGGCCGAGGTATAGGGACCTCCGGCCCCCGGTGCTAGGTGCGGGATGGAGCGAGAAGCTGTGCCAGAGCAGGGCCGGAGGCGGTGATATCGGCATCTACCGAGTTCTTGCTGCGTGCCAGGGAGTTAGCTCGCGGATGCTCTCGGTTGCTCCCGAAAACAGTGCCTCGTGGGAGGGAACACCGCCGTTCCGGTCGCACCGTAGTGCATTGTCAGAGCTTGCATGAAAACCCAGGCCACCTGTGTGCTGAGCATCCCTCAAGACCTCAAGGAGGAAAAGGCTGCAGTAACCTGTCAAATTTGTGGCTAAGGACTTTTTTTAAGGTGCCCTAAGATGCTCACTAGGGATTTATTTCAAAGCGAGAAAAATACCTCCAAAATTGCTTTCAAACGCCACCTTTATGAAAAGTATATATTGTCATAAGCGAAGTTGACATCATAATCTGCGGATAATGAAACATAACTGCATTTGATAATGCAGGCTTTTAACAACATTGGACCAATTATTTTACTTTTAGGTACTCAGAGACTTTTTTTGTGGGTCCCTGAAAAGCCGGTAGACAGTAACATTCGGAGGTACTGGGGGCTGGGACTTCATATGAATTTTGGTAGCACTCAACTCGGCCCAACACAGCCAGAGACTGCTCCTGTGTGTCCCGAGCACCCAGCACAGTGCCTGGCGAAAGGGAAGACACAAGAACACGTTTTCTGGCTAACCAACTGCTCCACACTGGCTGCGTGACGTAGGCCTGGTTCCTTCCGCACCTTAGTTGCACCGCCTGTAATACCAGGTTGGATAAACTGGTTTCTAAGGACAGTCACAGTCTGACTGTTGACTCAGCCAGGCCAGCATCCTTAATCTCTTCAGTGAAATATTTTCTCCCCCTCACCACTAGAGGGAGATGTTGCTTCCCATTATTTCTTCTTCCGGAATGTGCTTTCAACCTGTTGCCCGCCCCCGGCCCCCCCCCCCCCGCACCCGCCCCGGGGATGTAACGAGTGGAGGAGCTGAGACCAAGGGCAGCCAATAACTAAATTATCCGGTAGATGCTCAGCCCTGGGCTCTGTTACTCCCTGGCTGAGGTACCTTTGCCGAGGGCCCCTTGAGCGTGTTAGTTTCCTCTGCGGCCAATTGGGCAATGGAAATGGACATTTCTGAGCCCTGCCAGGTGGAAAGCCTCATCTAGGATAACCAAAAAGGGGGCAGGCTTCCAGCTAAAGCTCTCAGTCTAGAGACCCCAGAAGTGCAAATGCCCCTCTTACTGCCTTCCCATGACCAAGCTCCTGTTTGCTGATGGGTCGTGCCAACCAACACTGGCAGCTCTGTCTGGGGAATGGGCCTTTCTGAGGGCTTGGCCTGGCCAGAGAGGGCAGACGTGCACAGGAAAGCAGGTGCCCCCTCCCCTGTGAAGTAGAATGCAAGATATGGGGCGTCCAGGGAGGATGCAAGAGAGATCCTGGTCAATTCTAATTTCTGAGGTTCCAAGTTTATGAAAGCATGCCCAAGTTTATGCCCAAGGAACTGCAAAAAGACAATTCAGGGGCAAAAGCATTTAGAAAATTAGTGTCCTGGTAAGTGTATGTTGTAAGCCTACATCAAAAGGCAACCAGATCCCTTGGTCAGCCACACACAGGGTCCCTTGGCTGGAGTTTGCCCCAGAAAAGAACCATACAGCCAGATCTCAAAGAAGAACTTCCCCCAAGATGCTGCTGCCTGTGGGGAAGTAAGGTAGCTGTGCAGAGAACTGGAACCAGGCTTGGCTAAGAACCAAAACCAGAGTCAGGAAAAAAGCACAGAAGAGGAGTGGAGGGGAACCTCTGTGGCCACAAGAGGCCCCCACCCCTTCCCAGGAGCTGAAAAAGAGCCTGAACTTAACGGCTCAGATGGTGCCCTTCTCGGACCCGTGGGTCAGTCATGACCGAATCCTCCTTGTTCAACCAAACCGTCTGGGAAACTAGTTTACTTGCAAAAGGCTTTGAAAGCTTTGGATGAGTAAGACCCCCAGTTAAAAACAAACAAACAAACAAACAAACAACAAACCACAATACCCATTTAAAGAAGAAAACCCCATAAGATGGTAAAGTTTACAAATGTATGGTTAGGATGTTCCTCGTGGAAACAGTGGTTTTCTCATGCGGCTACAATCTGCCTCGGTCATGCTGTGGCTTCAGACAGCAGTGCTGCAGAAGTCAGGGGTAAAGTCGTTTCAGTCAGAAAGCTAGTAACTTCCAGGAAAGGCTTCCGTTTTTCCTTGGGGTCGGGGAGTTGGTGGAAGCGTGGGCTAAGAACCAACAAGGCAATCCTGTCTTCTGGCTTACATAAAGATGCAAAGTGCAGTTTCCTCCCCTCCTGGCTGAGGCGTGACCTGCACTTTGCCCTTCTGCCGGGGGAAGGCGAGTGTCAGGTCTGCTTCCACGGAGGGCAAACAATTGGGGCATACGGTATTTTAAAATTTCCAAATTAACAAAGTAACACTTTTGACACACACACACACACACACACACACACACACACACACCCCATCCTACTGCAATGCTATTCATAAGCTAGTTATAGAATTTAAAGGACTAATTCTCAGTGCACTCTGGCGCAGTGGCCTGGGAAAGGCACTCCTGGGGAAAAAGTCTCTCCGTGCTGCCGGTAGAACTGGCAAGTGCCAGATGCCGAAATCTAAACATGAGATCCACTCCCCGGCACCCCAGCCCCAGCCCCAGCCCCAGCCCCGAGTTCCCTCCAGAGATGAGCCTTGATGGCAAGCTTGGCACGTGGGGGCAGAACCGTGTTGCTTTATCATATTAGTAAACCCAGTGAGTGGGGAGTGGGGGATACGTCTTCTTTCAGGTTGTGATATCTCAGCTGGCGTATCTTCAAGCGTCGCTTTTGTTTGCGGAAAAGGGAAATGACATTCGGACCACCTCGTCCAGGGGAGGCAGGTGAAGTTTGCTCCCCGTTCTGGCTCTGCTACTGGCATGAACCCTGCCTGACACGGCTCTTCCTGGAAGAGGGGCCCCGCTCCGTTCTCTTCTTACTACCAGTGCCGAGGAGGTCAGGGTCGGGGGGCGCTTTCCGATCGTGGACTACAACTCCCAGCATGCCGCGAGGGCCTTCCGGGCAAAGTCTCGCGTGACTTCGGAGGCCCCGTAGGCTTTATCTCGGAGGCTGCTGGTCAGCCTCGCAACTTAGGCTCTGGTCCCTGCCGGAACCTCTTAGGGATAGCTGTAGACACAGCGCCGTTCACACCATGAGTTGGGTCTCCACTGCGACACAACCTCTAGAGACACGTGGGTCCTCGGCGCCTCTTTAGGGCCGGGACTCGGGCTGCAGGCAGCTCCGCGGCGGCGAAACCAGTAAGTAGACGGGGCCGGGCCGGCCTGGTCCTCCCTGGGGCCACAGCCTCCGCTCCCCGGCCCCTCCATCTGGGCCCTGGCCCGAGTCCTCTCCCCGTCCCGAGGCTCTGGGGTGCCCCAGTGGGCCTCGCCTCTGCTTCATCGGAGCTGCCCAGCCCCCTCACCTCTTAAAGCCTCTTACTTGCGCTGCCCTCGGGGAACCTTCGCCTAGTGCCAGGCCCCGACCCTCGTCGCCCTAGTCTTTCCCTGCTCGCGGGGAGGGAGGGGGCGTTGAGTCAGAGCTGGCCTTTCTCATCTTGGTGGCATCGTACGGCATCCGGTGTAGGGGAAGCGTGAGCTCTGCGGGGGAGGGGACGGGGGCGGGAAGGGATGTGTCTGGGTCGGTAAGCTCCCCAGACCCGAGGCATGGCTGAACTCTGGTTTCTGCGATGCTCTTTAATGAAGAACTAGCTAGTTTGCCCTCTGAGCTCCATCAGAACAGAGGTGTCAGGTAGCAAGTTGCAAGGCAAGTAACAGCTTTCTCAGGGCTTGGCGTGAACCCCCCTGTACAATGGGGATGAAACTACCCATCTCATAGCGGGGCCACTTATCTGTGACCCTGGACGAATCACTCATCTCCTGATCTTTAGTTTTCTTTCCAAATTGGGGATAAACAATGCCTGCTTTGCAGCGTTCCTGCGAGGCTTACAACACAGGACAAGTGTTGTCTAAAACCTTTGTAAATATAGTCAGCGTTGGCAATAAAGCAGGAATTTAACCTCTAGCTACGTGGTCCCTTGCTGTGGGCCAGGTTATTTGGACGCTGAGCCTTAACTTACTTAAAACATAAACACAAACTTCGAATCCCTCTCTCAGGGCTAGGGAGCACGGGAATGGTCAGGAGGAGGGTGTTGGGCAGACTCTGACGGCTGGACCCACGCCGCTTGGTTGTTGTTCTCAGAACGTCCGGAACGGATGGCCTCCTCCCAAGCAGCCTAGCTAATGGGCGGCAGCTGAACAATGTTCCTCGTTAATACCTGCCTGTGAGCTTAATCATCACAGCCGTTCTCTCCGGTAAGGTGACCTTTTCACCAGGTATACTGTCTTTGTCGTATCACGGGTTTAGATCAGCCACAGGTGTGGCGAGACCTTTGATAGTATCCCTTTGTGTGTGTGTGTGTGTGTATGCATGTGTGTGTGTGTGCACACGTGCATGCGCGCCTTGGCATGTTTCTCACCCATTGGCTCTTTGTGTGTGTGTGTCTCCGTGTTGTAAACGAGCCGTCCAAGTCTGCGTGCCTGTCGGAAGAACAGCGTTGGTGCCCCCCTTCAGTGTTCACTGTCAGAAAATGCTCTCTGTTATCTTTGTCAGGTGGCAGGGACTCAGCCCTGAAATCTGTATAGGAAAAGCACCGGATCCCAGTCTCTCAATGGCTTCGAGACAATCAGAAGTGCCCGGTAAACTGAATTCCTTTCGGTAAAACCCCGTCTCTCTCTTGACGCCGCTGTCCAGAAACCACTCTTTCTGACCCACGTGCCGATGGTTAGGTTGGCATCCTCTAAGTAGTGTCCTCTGAACCACCCAGCCGGCGTCATGAACCCAGAGTCTAACTGGAGAGTAGTCATTTCACTCCAGGGTATGACAAACTTGTCACTTTCCTGCGGTGTGAAATAAGAATTCAGAGTAAGTTGGGTAGTTCTCAAGGTATGCAGCAAAACTGTAAACTCATCCCCTTTTGTGGGGCATGGGGGGCCGGTGGAGCGGCGGCCTGGGCGGAAAGGCCCCGGCCGGCTTTAAAGGCAGCAAGTGGAACTCAGTCATGAACATGACCACGGCCGCGTGTGGTGAGTCCCGGGTCTCCGTAGGACAGTCACTTCTGGGTTAACGCGGTCATTGACCCTGCCGTGGACTCTTTTAGTGGGGAGGGCATTGATTCTTTAAATCAAACCGGAATCACTTGATTTTAGATCATCAGTGAAGGTTAGATGACAGTGCTTATCTCTCGGGGCTGCCGTGAAGGTTAAATGGAAAATACGTGAAAATGTGAGCTAGAAGTTAGCAATAAACATACATATACTGCCCCGAAAATTTGGGGGTCTGTTTGTAGGACTATGTTGCTTAGTATATATATAAGCCGACTTTATTGTTATTTGTGGGAGGGCTGTTGGGATGGCTCATGGGAGGAGTCTTAAGATGTCTTTGAAATCACTCCCAAATTAAGTGGGGTAACAGGAGTCTCCCCCGTGTCTCCCAACACCGACCCCTCCCTAGTCTCCAGCCTCATCAGCTTGCGTTTGGTCTGTCCTCCATTGCTGTCGTGCTGACCGTGAGCCCTGGTGTGAGCGCCCCGGACCTCAGGGCGTCACGGCTTTGCAGTGTGGGGAGCGGGGAGCGTTGCATGCAGAGCGAGCGCTGCCCGGGGCCTGGGTTCCGGTTCCACCCACACTCGCTAGCTCCGCGTCGCCTGGCGTCCGTGCCTCAGGTCCCTGAGCCAGAACCTGGGAAGAATGTCTATCTGATGAGAGTTAGAGAAGATTCGGGATGTAAGAGCTTGGCAAGGAGGGGTCCTTGGTGATTATTGTTTTTTTCTTTATTTCTTTTTTTTTAAAGATTTTATTTATTCATTTTTAAAGAGCAGGGAAGGGAGGGAGGAAGGGAGAGAAACATTGATGTGCAAGAGAAACATTAATTGGTCACCTTCTGCACGCCCCCAGCCAGGGCCCCGGCCTGCAACCCAGACATGAGCCCGGCCTGGGAATCGAACCTGTGAACTTGCAGTTTGTGGGACGATGCCCAACCCACTGGGCCACACCAGCCACGGCTATTATTTGCTTTTTTAATGGCGACAACTCACATACCATGAAAGTCTCCCGTTTAAAATGAATAACTTAGTGGTTTTTAGTATTCACAAGGTTGGGCAACCATGGCCACTATCCAATTCCAGAACATCTTCCCCACCCCCAGAGAAAACCTCACGTCCCTTCGTGATCACTCTCCCCGCCCACCTACTGCTGCCCCCTGCTGCCCCCCCCCCCCGCCCCGGGGCTTGGCCACCACTAACCCTCTTTGTGTTTCTGTGGGTTTGTTGGTGGTTATTATTCATGTTAGCAGTAAAAATACCGGTAGCTGCTTGGTCCCTTGCTGTTTCGATGAAGTATCTTTGCGGGTTTTGGACTTGCTGCCACACAAGTTGATGTCTTGGGGGGTGATTATATACTTTTAGCAACAGGAAAATGTCACGCCGAAGGCAGGATCTGGGCGTTAGTCCCGCTCTGACGCAAACAAAGTGAGCTTTGCTCCCTGGCCTGGCAGCGCTGACAGTGCCCTTGGAGCAAGGTGCCCGTGTCCCAGCGGGAGGCGCCCCCGGGCGGCCCGGCGGGAGCAGCTCACGGTGCTGGAGGAGAGTGGCCGCCAGCAGGGTCTGTGTGGTAGCTGGCGCTGCCGTTTAAACCCCGCAGAGCGCTGGGACCTGGTGGTGGCGCTGGGCTGGCCGTGGGCTGTGAACGTTCCTGGTCTTCGGGCTCTGGTCCCCCTCGGTGAGGGAGGGCAGGCGGAGGGTCGGCGGTGGAGCCTCCTCGGGCTGCGTGTGGAGTGAACCTGGGCGAGGCCCTTTGCCCCCAGGCCCCAGTTTCCTCACCTGCAGAGTGGGGGAGGGGGAGACCGCCATCCCTCAGCCTTGCAGGAGTGAGAGCCTCGGTGTGGCTGTGGGGCAGAGTCCGTGGCATAGAGAACACAGGCTTTGAAATCAGGCAGGATCGGCTCTGATCCCTTACCGCACTCTGATGTTGTGTGACCTCCTCGGGTGACTTAAATGGGACTCCCAGTTTTTCTGAGCGGCACGGATGCCCCGGGGCTGCTGAGTGGGCTGGGAGGAGAACCCCAGTGTCAGGCCTGGAGGCAGGGGTCAGCACCGCGGGTTCCCGTTCCCCGAGCGGACTCGCTGTTCCCGAACGGGCCGTCCTCGCCGTGTCCCAGGGTGAGCGCTTCCGAGCGCCACCGCCCGCAGGCCAGTCCGAAGCCACGAGCGTGTGTGGTCGCTGCGCCCGTCCTGACAGGTGTCTCTGTTCTCAGCCCTCGAGCCCAGCGGGCCTCTAGGCAAGATGTCCCTGCCCATCGGGATGCACCGCCGGGCATTCAGCTACGATGATGCCCTGGAGGACCCCGCGCCCATGACTCCTCCCCCGGCGGACATGGGCAGCATCCCCTGGAAGCCCGTGATTCCAGAGCGCAAGTATCAGCACCTGGCCAAGGTACCGGACCCCGCCGGCTGCCCCGGCGAGGCGAGCTGAGCCTTCCGTTCCTCTTCCCCTGTGCCAGGAGCCTCAGTGGCCGCAGGGCCCAGAGTCTGGCTGCCGCTGATCCCTGCGTGTGTCTTCTGTGTCTCAGCTGGAGTCGGTGGGCCTTGTGTCCTTGTTAGTTCAAACCAGCGTGGACAGGCCTTCTCCTCCCTGAGATTCTCTTGCCCACCCCGCCCCCACCCCACTCGCGACGGCCTTAGAAATGCAAGCTCCTCAGTCTGGCTCTGCTTGGTCCTAGTGTGCTGCTGCCCCCAGTGATCTAACCGTGCACGTTACCTAAGGTGCCCTGCACTCAGTAGGGTGTTTGATGCTTCCAGGTCTTTGCGTCACTGCTCTGTTGCCCGGAATGTCTCCGTCCCCACCCTCTTCTCCCACCACCTGCCTGAGCAGTGGTGTCTTCAGGTCCCTGTGCAGACATCTCCACTGCGAGGGGTTTCCTTCTGACAAGACTGCCACCTCCCCTCGAGCCCGCCTCTGCACCGCAGGCCCCTGTCGCATGCCCTGCGTCACCTCCCGCTAGCTCCGGGGGGCGGGGGGCAGGGGCCGCGGCCAGTTTTGTTGTCTACCTGCGGTGTCAGGCAGGGGACGTGGCACGGAGCAGATTCCAAACCAAACCAAAGAATGTTCCCGGAGTGACTGGGGGGGGCGGGGATTGACTGTTTCCCAAACACGGGCTGTTCCTTTTCTCGTCACGCTCTCCCACCTGGCACACACGCCTCTCCCGCTGGGAGAGCGGCCTTCGTCCTCGGGCCCCGGCTGGCTCGGGCGCACGCTCCGCGTCCCACCGCGCCTGCTGCTCTCGGCCCGTCCGCGCACTGTGGCTCCAGGGGTTCTCCCGGGCTTGTTGTCACTGCAGCCCGTGCTCTGGGCCCATAGGGGCGGCGTCTCTGTGACTTCTGACTCTCGGTGGTGCTGCCTGCGTACACGGGGCCTGCCAAGTTCAGGCAAGGCCGTTTAGTCTGCAGCTGCAAGTGCACTGAACTTCGAGCTGCATGGCAGATGAGGGCCTGACCTTGGAAGTACAACACACTGAGCCACGACTCGAACAGACCTGGGTGTAAACCCCGTAATGGCCTGTGTATGGGCAATGACTTTGGGCGCACAGCTTCGTCCCTGAGCAACAGTGTCTCCACCCGAGACCCCTTGGCCGTGGCGGGGCCGTGCGGTTAACTCAAAGTGGGTCGTCGGAACACATGTCCGGTGCGTGGCGGACGTTGTGACTCCCGCCCCCGGGCCCGACCCGGACCCGGCGGAGCGGCCTTGGATTCTTCCGCTCTTGTGGGCCCTCCCCACTCCCCTTCCCTCAAGCTGTCAGAGCAGGGGGCTCTCTCTCTCTGCAAAAGCATCCCCTCCAGCTCAGGGGGACATTCGTCCCCGTGTCCTCTACCTGCCAATCCCACGCAGTGAGCTGGGAGGAGTCAACGTCTAGCATAAAGAGGACCGGCAGTACCGGGAGGAAGGGGCCTGGCCCTGGCCGTGCTTCCGAGGGCGGGGCCCCCTTTCCTGTGTGCAGGCCGCCGCTTGCTCGCCGCCGCCGGGGCGAAGAGTGGGCTCCGCCTCGCTGTGGCGCCCCGGCGGCTGGAACAGCTGACACCCCGGAACAACTGCTGGTGGTGGAGAGCTGGGCGGGCCCCATTGCAGGAATTCTTCCATTGTCCCGACCGTCCCCGCCCTCCGAGTGAGGAAGCACAGACGCCAGCTTTGCCCCACCGAAGCTGCAGCTGAGAGCACAGGCCCTGTTTTGTAACAGGGACCCGGCATGGCGGTGCTCCCGCCCCCTCCTTGCTGATGGTCTTCATCCGTCCCTTTGGGGAAGCAGGAGGCAGAGAATAAAGCCGGGCCTCCCCTCCCTGCCGGTCCCGAGCACGGCGTTGGGGGTTTGGACGCCAGAGGGCGGCGAGCTCCCAGCTCTCAGGTTCAAGATGAGGAGTTACGTAGAGTTGTCTGGTTCGTTCTAAAAGACCGCTCCTGAACCCCAGAGCTGCGGTCCTCGTGGTGTGGTTTTGGGGACCAGCAGCGTCCACATCACTTCAGAATTTGTTAGAAAAAGAGCAAATTCCTGAGCCCCGCCCCAGGCCTACTGACCTGGCCCTGGGGTGGGCCGTCCACGGCGTCCGGTGCTCAGCATGTCTGGGGTCTGCTTCGAGCCTGCAGCAGGGAGCTGAACTGGGCTGGTGTGGCGCCCGGTGTGGGGCCGGCACTGGGCAGGAGGCCTGGATCAGTCCAGGGGGTAGACGTGGCTGGGAATCGGGGGCCCTCAGCTTCACACGCTGGCTTTCCCACTTTTATACATTCAGGCTACTTATGTGTCTTTATCCGTTGTCACTACGGATGATACCCACACACCTGATCGGGTGGGGACGCCGAAACCCCTGCCTGTAAAGGTGTCCTTCTGTATCAGGTTCAAGGTGTTCCCGAAGCCGCCTCCCCAGAGGAGTGGGTTCGGGTGTGCGGCCCTCCTGCTGTGCTCACGTCACCTCTCTCGAACAGGTGGAGGAAGGAGAGGCCGGTGTCCCCTCCCCTGCCATGACCCTGTCATCGGCCATTGACAGTACGGACAAGGTCCCCGTGGTGAAGGCTAAAGCCACCCATGTCATCATGAACTCTCTGATCACAAGTAAGCGCTCTGCACCCTCCTGGCGGAGCAGGGGTGGGGAGCGGGCGCAGGGTCCTGCAGGCGCGCCGGCCTCCGCCCGCGCCCACCGTGCCTGGCAGGGGCCGGCTGGGCTGCCCGCCACCAGCGAAGCCACACGGACGAGAGGATTGGCCAGACTCGGGGCATCTCTGTTGACAGAGGTGCATTCCTGTGGGTCTGCTGGTACAGCCTTACACGCCCACGTGCGTGTGTGTCGCCTGGGGCAGGTTCCTTAACCGTTGAGACTGTTCCCTCGTAACGGGAACAGGGAGCCTGGCTGGCAGGTGGAGAGAGGGTTAGGGGTCCTGGGGCTTGGTGGCTGGGGGCTGCTGCTGGGAAAGAGGCACTCGGGGGCAGCCACCACCTGCCCTGTATGTCTTCTTCTCCTTCATCTTTTTTTTTTTTTTTTTAATTAAATGGCTCAAAGCTTTCCCCCTTCCTGGACGTTGTTGCCTGAAGCTTCTGTATGCGTTAGGATGTGTGATCTGTGGTCCTAATGAGACTGGAAACGGGAGAGCTTGCATTTTTCTGAACCGTTGGTTCTGCTGTGAACAGTTGGTTGTCAGACACACAGCGCGGCGTGTCAGCAGCGGCAGCCCCTGCCAGCGACGAGGCCCTCGGAGGTCCTCCTCGTCGTCGGCTCGGTCTCAAGGTCGGGAGTCCTTGCTTCTCTGCTCTGGGAGGGGGTCAGTCTGTCCGACCTGTTCTGGAGAACTCGCCCAAGGACCAAAAGTCCAAACCCTCCTTGGACTTTAGTTCACGGGCACACACCACCCTTTGAGTCAGCAGCCGCCACCCGTCCCTTGTAAGCCTGAGAGAGTTAGAGAGAAAGCTCCCGTCCCTGTTCCTCCAGCCCAAGACCGCTTCTGCGCTGGAAATGCCCTTCCCCCGCACACCAGAATGTTCCGGCACCCGGAAGTTCTGCTGTTGCTCAGGTGCCGCCTGGCTTGCTCCCGTGCGCTCGCGCGTGCAGCTCTGCACGGCTGGCTGCAGACAGAGCGGTCGCGTCTGTCTGCCAGGCCTCCTCGGGCGCTGCTGTGGTTTCACGTTTTTAAAAACAGCCGCGTTTAAAATCCTGGTCTCGGTGTGCCATAATGCACGACATTCCTTCCCGCCTTTCACGTTGTTGGGTGACTACCTGGTAACCCAGGGAACTAGCTTTATACATTTTTTTTTTTTCTGTGCTTCTGGTTCTGATAGAAATAAAATAGTTCCTTCAGCGGGGAGTGACTGAGTCCTAGAGGACTTCGGGGACCCCGACTTTCGGCCCAGAGCCGCCGCATCCCCGGACGTGGGGCTGCGTCAGGCAGTGCGTGCACAGAGTGAGCAGGAACGTGGGTTGTGCAGGGCCGTCCCGCGGTGCAGCCGACGCGGCGCTCACCGAACACGGAGCTGCCCGTCGGCCTGCCGTGCCGGCACCTCGGAGAGGCCCCCGGGCACGCAGGAGAAGTCGGCCCTGGGGGGCCTGGCCGGTTGGGGCACGTTCTCTGGGGTTTGGCTCTGATCGGTCCCTCGGTGCCATCTGGCCAGAACGTGGCCCGTTTCTCTTTGGTGAGGGTCTCGGTGAGGGTCGTGAGGGTGGCGAGTCCCTCTCGGGGACCGTATCTGCAGAACGCCCGCCGGTTCTGAGTGTCAGTGTCAGCGGGCTTCCCCCTGTCGCATTTCCAAACACACGGAGAGCGGCGCGGCCATGGGAGGGAGGGAGGGAGGTGAGGAGTTCCCCAGAAGTCGTCCGGTCTGCGTCTCGGTGTGGGGTGGGCTTCCCTGGGGCCCCCCCGAGGACCTCCGTGGGGGGCTCAGGTCCCTGCTGCTCCAGGGAACCGCCCCCACAGGGCGGCCGGTGTGGTCTCCTGCTCCCGGGAGAACAGCGGGTGTCCGAGTCGTCCTCCCCGGTGTGTGCAGGGACGGGGACGGGCATGACCGTCGTCTCCTCTGTCCCCAGAACAGACCCAGGAGAGCATTCAACGCTTCGAGCAGCAGGCGGGGCTGAGGGACGCCGGCTACACGCCCCACAAGGGCCTCACCGCCGAGGAGACCAAGTACCTGCGCGGGGCAGAGGCGCTCCACGTAAGCTCCCGGCTCGGGGACTTAGTCGTGGCTCCTGTCGGGAGGAGCGGCCCAGAAGTCTCCAGCTCAGCGAGGCGGGGGCTGTGGGGGGTGGTGGGGCTCTCCTCCCCGTCAGTCCAGGGTCCAGGGTCCAGGGTCCAGGGCGGGCGTCCGGGCGGGAGGTGCAGGAGCCCGGCTGTCCTGTCCGCGTCACCGGCGCTGAGGCCGGGTGGGCCCCGGGCGCAGCAGGACAGGCTGCACCCAGGGACGGGGGGCACGGGCGGGCAGCCTCCTCGGAGGTGCCACCAGCTGGAAAAGAAGGTCGTGCTCGAGGTTTAATGTTTTTTAAATTAAAAGGTAATGTGGAATTGGGATGTTTTTGTTCTTGTGTTTCTGAAATTGGAACAAATGGGACTAACTTTTGGTAAGGTTAATAATGCCCAAATAGCTGCACGAATGCTGTCAGTTCAAGTGACTTTGGTCCAGGGAACGACACTTCGGGCCCGACGGCACTGTGCAACTTCCGGGGCCCTCGCACTCGCTCCCCCGGTGTCACCCCGTGAGGCGGGCCTGGCTCCGTGTCCTGTAGATGAAGGGGCCGAGGCCCGAGGTCCTGCGTTCAACCAGCCACGGCACCTGAGCGCACGTCTCCTGATGCCCTAGTTCCTGCTGGCATTTTCCCCCACGTCCCAAAGTTGTCCGAGACCCTGACCCATGGCGTGGGGGGGGCTCCGAGGAGGATCATGAGACACAGGGTGTGGAAGGAGGATCAGTGTGGCTCTGGTGGCCTGCGGGGAGGGGTGCCTGACCTTGGGGACTGGGGCGTTTCATGACGAGCACCCCCGGGGACGTTCACACGCTGAGAGTCAGAACCACTGCCGCGGGGGACCGGGGGAGGGCTGGTGGCCGGTCTAAGCTGTCAGATGGGACAGACGCTTCCAGAGAGGGGTGCTCTGGGCCCGTGACATGGACCTTCCCAGGGCACGTGTGGGTCAGAGTTCCCGGGGGAGCAGTCAGCCCCGAATGGTGCGGGGCCGACGCTGGGCCGTCTCCTGCCCCTCGGCCACGGGAGCAGAACAGGCGGCTGGCTGGAATGCCGGCTCACGCAGGCTGACAAGGGGAGTGTTGGGAGTGTGGCCGGGCTCGGCTTCGGCGCACTGGGCATGCGGCGCAGAGACGGCCGGGAGCCTCGCTCTGGAAGAGCCGGCTAGTAGGTTGAGCTGTCCCCCAGCAGACGCTCTTCCGTGTTAGAGGTGTGTTGGCAAGGCAGAGGGGGCCCAGCGTGACTGGTCGTGGGAGGGGAAAGGACAGAACGGGGCAGGCCTCACGGAGGAAGTGGGCAGCTGCAGAGGGGGGGCTGCCCGCCCCCCAACCCTGGCGTTGTGGCTTCGAGAGACACAGTGGCGGGTTGTCCGTGGCAAGAGAAGAGGTCCAGGCCGTACTTGGAAGGCCCAGGAGGCTTGCGGCTGGAGTTCCGGCTCTTCCGCTTGCTGGCCGGCAGAGGTGGGGACACTAAAAGATCTAGTGTGGTATTTAGCACAGAAACGTTTAAGGTGCGTTGTAGAATTAGTGCATTTTTTTAAAGAGGTGGAGCTCTACTTAGTATGGCAAAATCAAAGGAATATGTATTCCTTTGACTTGAGTGTTCTATAATCCAAAATTACCCCACCTGTTAATGTTTCCCTTTTGCCTGGAGTTGGTGTGGACCAGGTGGACCCTACCCCCACTCAGCCAAAGTCTCCCCTCTTACCCACCCGGACAGAAACTAAAGCTGCAGAGCGGGGAGGCAGCGCGAGGAGAGAAGCCGGTGTCGGCCCGGTCCACCCCCAGCAGCACGCCCCACTCGTCCCCTAAGCAGACGCCTAGGTGAGCCCTCCCTGCGCGCGGCCCTCCTGAGAGCGGCGTGCCCGGGCACCGGGGCGTAAGCCGGTGGCTCCGGGGCAAGGAGGGGCAGAGGGCAGTTCCTGGGTACCGCGCGCGAGGCCACACGGGCTGTTTTGTTCCTTCCCTGCCAGGGGCTGGTTCTCTTCCGGCTCTTCCACAGCCCTGCCCGGCCCGCACCTCAGCGCCATGGACCCTGGGGGCAGGGATAAAGACAGAGCCTCGGCCGACAAGTGGAGCCTCTTTGGACCGAGACCCCCCCAGAAGTCTGACGCAGGTAAGACAGCTTTCTCAGAGGAGAGCCCGGCACGGCCGGCGTCCTCCCGCGTGGACCGGGGGCCGCCCCTGACTCTGAGACCCCTCGCTCTGGTCCACTCCTGCAGCGGGCCTGGCCGTGCAGCCCTACCGAGGAGCCCAGAAACCTTCCCCGATGGAGCTGATGCGTGCGCAGGCCACCCGGCTGGCTGAGGACCCGGTGGCCTGCAAGCCGCCCAAGATGGACGTCCCGGCGGTCGAAGGGAAGAAGCCGCCGCCCCGCACCCACAATCTCAAACCCCGGGACCTGAACGTGCTCACACCCACCGGCTTCTAGAGCTTTCGCTTCCAGCGACTCCGGACAGAGGGTGTCTCGCGCCCACTCCACTGTTACTCTGGCCCCGACATAGGAAGCATTTGGGTTTCTAGTTTTCTTCTTTTAAACCCCTGTACCTGAGGCTAGAACTAGAGGCACAACTGGTTTTTGGGAAACAGTAGTGTAAGGTCTGTCCTTGTGTGGAGAAAGCCATCGTGTTGCTTTAGCGTCAAGTTAGACTAGGTAATAATCCCAGCAGCGGCGTGGGGGCCCCGCCGCCTGTGTCGGCGCCATCTGGCCTGGACAAGGACCCGCCGGCGCGGCCCGGGCAGATGGCGTTTGTGCTGCTCCGTCGCCACGGGCAGCTCATGCACGGCCGGGCCCTGGCGGAGAGGCCCCGCCCCCTGGACGGCTGGTGCGGGTGCCCCCGCTCTGTCCGCGCAGGGACCCGGGGTCTGTCTGAGGTCGGGGCCCGGAGAAGGTCTGGGCTTGGCAGGGCCCCTCCTGCCTGGGGACGGCAGCCGTTGCGCTCAGCCAGCTCCTGCCGGTGGGGCCCCCGGGTCCGTTGCGCTGGGCGGTGCGTCTCCTTCGTGGCACTTCCGAGTGAGATCAAGTCAGCTCCAGTCTGGTGGAAGATGTTCTGTAAGGAGCAAACTCGGCCTCCCGTTTTGGTAGAAATGGCTGTTCAGCTTTTTCCAGAGGGAAGGTGGTGGTGACTGTACATCGATTACAGCCTGGACACTCACGTGGAATGAGTATCAGCGGGGCCTGCGGCGGCTGCCGCCGCCAAGCGGCTTCCAGTGGAAGGATGAAACACTTTCTGTATTCGATCATTCCCCCCAAAGGAGCCCACACCTGTGCAAACGGCGGGCTTCCCGAGGAAAGGAGCTGGGGGCAGGGGGGCACCCACGCATTTCCCTGCACTGAGCACCTGCTCGGTCGTTGTCCTGAGCACCTGGTCTCCAGCCCCTGCTGCCCCGGCGTCGGAGGGAGCGGGCTGCATGGCCAGCTGCGCTGACCTTTCCAGAGAGAGGCCCCGGAGTCTCAGATGACGAGAACAATTAATTTATTTGTGTTCTGTTACACTCAGATCTCTTGTTTCGACAATAAAAATCTGTACTGCTTTCTCAAACGTGGATAGCTGTTTCCTTTGTCCCGTCAGGAGTGCTCACTGCATTCTGCCTACTCAGCCACGGAACCCAAGCAGGAAACTTGGTGTTTTGAAAAACCATTGCCTTTTTATTGGATCCCTTAAACACTTCTGCAGCACACTCATCCTCTTGTTTCTGACCTCCCATCTTCCGCCTCATTACATGGGATCTTAATGGGCTGGCCACAAAGTCAGATCTGTGCGCGGTATAACGTGGATGGTTGTGTTTCATTAGGGAGAGACGGATACGTCCTTCTCTCTGAAACGGGTCGTCAGTACCTGGAGTAACGTAACGTTGACGTCTAGGGTTTGTTCCGAGGGGTTTTTTTCACATCTTGAATGGAAGTGTTAAACATGTAAGTGCATATAGTATTACCTGTTTCAAAAAGTATAGATAAATAATTTATCAAAAAATACATACACCCTATATATTTAAGCCATATCTGGGAATGGGCTAGCATTGGGTTATCAAAAAGTATTTGCTAGAGAGTTAGACAGTTGTCACCTACAGATCAATAAGATGGGTTTGGTCCTCTAAGACTCAGCTACTTCTCATACTGTCAGGACTCCGGGAGCCGGCGAGAGAGTTAGTTCGGGAGGTATTCTCGGCGCCGGCCAGCGCGGGCGTCGCAGGCCCTCAGGGGGCGCTCCAGCACTCGGGGGAGGGCTCTGCGTCGGGGTTCAGGTCCGCGGCGTAGAAGAGCAGGAGCTTCAGCAAGTGCACTTTGTCTCGCAGCTGGGGGACCAGCGGCTCCCCCAGCATCTGGACCAGGCGGCTGCGGAACGCCTCGATCTGCTTCTCCACGTCCACCACGGTGATGTCGTCGCACTGCTGGGGCTTGGGCTTCACCCGCTTGATGATTAAGTCTTTCCGGTCGATCACTGAACTCCGTAGGTGCTCTGCAAGAGGTAAGAAGTCAGTTGAACCGAACTGCTTTTTATTCGTCATGATTTAAGACAACGAAGTCCGGCTCTGCCAGGCAGGGTCTGGGCACGGACCTGCTAACCCAGTGCCGGGATACAGGCCAGAGGCCAAGTGGGAACATGCGGGGGGGACTCTGTGTTTGAAGGTCCTTCGTTCTCTCTGGTCCCCCAGTATTTTTATTTTATTTATTTTTTATTTTTAGAGAGGGAAGTGAGGGAGAAAGAGAAACATCAATGTGCGGTTGCTGGGGGCCGTGGCCTGCAACCCAGGCACGTGCCCTGGCTGGGACTCGAACCTGCGACACTGGTTCGCAGCCCGCACTCCATCCACTGAGCTACGCCAGCCAGGGCTTCCCCCAGTTTTTCATGTTAAAAAAATTCGTGTTCCATTTGAATTTTTCCCTTTGTTGGTTTAAACAATGAAGTTATATTTAAAGTTAATTTAACCACTTGAAAAATATTCATGTGAATTTTGAATTATCCTTAGGGAGGCTTTTCCCTAAGTATGAAAGAATTGCAAAGAAATATTGAACTTAGTTCATTGTGATGTTGGTTTACTACAGTTACTCTGTTTAAGGGAGACCGTTTTGTACGAACTGTAGGACAGAGCAGATGAGCGACTGACTGTGTTTGTGTTCAGGAGTGGGGTGTGGGGGGCTGCTTCTCTGAGCCAGAGTCGGTGAGTTCAGCAGACACCCCAGCCCCCCTGTCTCCGTGGGGCTGCTCTGCTCTCTGTGGAAGTATTTGTAAAAGGTGAAGTTTCAGGATATACACCTCCCCAAGGTCAAGGGTCTATACGAAAGTAGCTTAACTGTATAGGAAGTACAATGCATAGGAAGTTTAGGAAAGGGGGATTGGAAATTCCTTAGCATCTCACTTCCTGATCTTGCCCAGTGATCTCACAGAAGAGCAATTCCTTCCACGCTTTGGCAACAGACCTAAGCTTGAGTCCGGGCTCTGCATTTACTTTTCTCCAAGCCTCTGTTTTCCCACGGTCAGTGACCTTCACGGGGTCACTGGATGATACAAGGCAGGGTTTGTGGATTTACTTGCCTGCCTTCCTCTGTCCTCCCCAGCCTTGCCCCTTCTCCCCTCGCCCCTGGAGCTCCACAGCTCGGGCTGACCTCCGGACGCCCTCAGCAGTGGCCCCCCTCCGCGCTGGCCGAGGAGCCCGCACAGTGAAATGCCATAGGCAAGGGCGCCGGCCGTCAGGGTCCCGTTCGGCTGTGTTCTTTGTAGGACGCCATTTCAAACGACTGTTCCTAATTTTTTTTTCTCCTTGACTGTTGGTCTCCAGAGAAGCTGGGAAAGATGTCGAGGATAAAATAACGTTGGAACGCAGCCCAGCAGTAGGGGTGGGCAAAAGTAGGTTCGCAACTGTGCGTACACGAGTTTATTATTGTGCTGGTACTCGTTAATCACTGTATTATTGGTGTTACAACTACAAACCTGCTGTTGCCCTCCCCTGCAGACTGGTTTGAGGCCTTCCTTTCCCTCATTTGAAACTTAAGAATATTCTGCAACAAAACCAGCTTCCATGTCCACATTAAGCCACTATTGCCCATGACCCAGGTGTATTAACTGGGAAGCAAAACAAATGAACCAGAAGTGTTAGAGGTGAAGCTGAAGTACAAACCAGATGCTTGAACATTAAACTTCTGGCTAGGTCTTTAAAAGGAATAATTACCTAAGCTCAGCGAGGCCAAGCACACACACGGAGTCTGCCTCTGGGGCTTTGTTCTGAAGGGCGGGCGCTGTCCGGGGAGCGGGGGGGGGGGTGCGCTGAAAGTGCCCAGACGGCCGCACGTGGCGGTCCCCACGGTGCTCTCCGTTAAGTTTGGTCACAAGGACTTCAAACACAGAGCAGACCCTTGCAGCCCGGCCCTGTCAAGGCGAACAGGCAGCCGGAGCCCTGCCCGCTGCTCGCGCCGCCGCCCACAGTCGCTGGGGCAGGTTGAGCGTGCCCGGCCCCCTCTGTGGGAGGGAGGGACCGAGGTCTGGAGACGCGCTGGCCGCCCAACGCGGAGTAAGTGCCGGGGCTGGACTTTGGCTTTGATCTTCTACCTCAAATCCAGTGCCTTTTTAAAATATACCTCCACAACAGCTCCATCAGTTGCAGGCCCGAGGGTATCGTTACTGAGCTAAAATCAACCTCGACGGGACCCTAGCGGCTAAACTGTATGTGCATGCTTCTCCTGTTTCCGGCGTGAGAGGCAGCGGCCGACACTGCGCCCCTCCACCCTTTGACTCTTCCGTGTGGGTTTCCTAAGATCAAGGATGTTTAGTTTCGTAAGCCAGAATAATGATCAAAAACAGGAAATTTAATATTAATGCAATCCTATTATCTGTTTAAGTTTTACCAATTGTTGCAATAATGTCCTTTCTAGTTTCTTTTTTCCTGGTCCAGGGTCCGGTCTAGGACCAGGCTTTGTATTTGGTGTTCTTGGGCTGTAGCCCTGTTCTAAAGTGGAGCGGTTTCTGGCACCTTTGAAGAGTGCAGGCCACTCGTTCTGTGAAAGGCTCCCCAGAAGGGGTTTGTCCGATCTTCCTTGTGATTGGATTCAGGTCGTGGGTCTTTGGCAGGAACACCACGTAAGGGCTGAGGTGTCCTGCTCAGGGCAGCGCGGCGAGAGGGACGCCTGCCTCCTCCTCAAGTTACCGCCTTTGCTCTTCGCGATGAATAATGACGTCAGCTTTCCCGAGGACCTCAGGGGTCCTCGGCTGACCGCTCTCATCCGGGGTGGCAACCGCACCCCTCTCCTTGCCGGTGCCGGCCTCCCGAGCGGTAGTCACTCGGCTCCTCCGGGCCCTGGTGACCGCCGGCTCACCGGGGACTCGGGCAGGGCCACTTGGACGGACCGTGGGGCGTCTTCTGTCTCCTGCGAGGCGTGCACCTGCACCTCGGTGCTGATCGCTCTGCACTTGCGCCGTACCGGTGGGCGTTTGTGATGTCTGTGGTCAGGGAGCGGTCGACCCGGCACTGCGGTGGCGGGCGGGGTGAGAGGCCAGGGCTAGTCGGGTCGGGGCTGAGTACCTCCCGGGTTGCGATGACTCTCGTCACTCCTAACACCCGTGAGGTCCGACATATTACACTTTATATTGAAACACAGGTGAACTCTTCCATCTCAGAGCAGTGATTCTAGCGGCGTCGCTCCTTGTTTCTTGCAGCCAAGGAACAGTACTCGCCGACTAGAACCCCTGGCTGACCTGCGTTCACACAGTAACGCCCCTGGGGGACTCGCACACCGCCCCCTTGCGAACGGACGCTCCTTACCTCTCAGCACGTGCTGGTAGCTGGATAACAGAAACTGCAGGTGCTCCACCAGCTCGTCCCACGTCTGCCACTGGGTTTTGTCCGACTGCGGAGACAGTGAGACAGTGAGAGCGCCCGCTGACCAACGCCTCCCTCGGTTACATTCCCAAGTCACGCCGACGTGATGCCCAGGGGCCGGGGGACAGGGGTCCAAGGGTCCAGGGGTCCAGGGCCCGAGCTGGGGCGGGGGGGCGGGTACCTGGCACTTGAGCAGCGACGTGGAATTGTTGAGGAAGTAGAGGGCCTGCGCCAGGGACAGGGGCAGGCGGGTGGGCGTCTTGCAGCTGTGCAGGAAGATGATCTCCAGCACCTTGCAGCGCAGCAGGTGGCTCTCCATGGTGGTGAAGAACATCTCTCTGCGCGGAGAAGGGGGAGAGGGGGCGGGCCGTCACGGCTCCCGTCTCCAGGAGCGCGTGTGCTCCACGGTCCCCCCTCAGCGCCCTCACGCTGGCCCTGGAGCAGGCGGCCGCGGGGCCCGTGGACGGGGCAGACGCAGGTTTGGCCATGGACTCACTGCTGCTGCAGGAGCGGCAGGTCTGTGATGCTCGGGAAGCACCAGCTTAGGACGCGCGAGAAAGGACTACCTCGGACCGTGCCCGAGAGAATGAACACGGAGAGTGAGCGGCTCTGAAGGTTCACAGCGTGCTGGAAGCTGCTGGGCTCGGCAGAGGACGTCAAGATGAGGGATCTTTTAGGGTAATTTGGGCGGCTGCCAGTTTGCCGCTTCTGAGAGAGTGTTCAAGTTGGGCCAGGTTTTATTTAAATTACTTTTGCCTATGTTAAGTCTAGATTTGTTTATAGTTGTGCATTCCTTAGATTTCTCATCTCTTACCGGAACCCGGGCTTAAGTGAGCGAAGGGACCCGCCTGAGACACTCCTGGAAAAGGGGGAGGCCAAGTGCGGCTTCCCGAGCGCTGGGAGTCTGCCTGCTTGGAACGGCGAGCTCGGGGTCGGGGGGAGAAGTCCCGGGGCTCCACTTGGGTTCTGAGCCCATCTGACTGGCTGTGTAACCCTAGGCTGGTTGTTTCGCTACTTCTAGTGTTTCCTCATTTGTTAGTTTCATGAAAATATGAGACAATGTGACAATGACTGGCGCACCGCAGGGCCCCCATGAGTGTTTGCCTTGATCGTAGCAGGGTGTTTTAATCAAACCCTTGTGATGGTGGTATCTGGTATGAGACTCTCCTAAAAGAGGGGCCAGAGCTGTAGACGGACACTCTCGGCTGCCAGCTGCGAGCTCAGGGGTTGGCTGGGGGCGAGAGGCGGGCGGGGGGTGGAGGGACATACTGTCCCCCGGGGCCGCCACTGCACAATGGCCCTCTCACAGTCACTTCCTGCGCCAGCACCTGTTCGTGGGTGCACAGTCACTCCAGTCTGGTTCTCTTCCTCTGGATTCTAAGGTTACTGGTTCAAAGGAGGAAGGATTCATTCGAGCCAAGACTCGAATTCTTGATCCCTTCCTAATGGAATGCGTCATGAATTCATGCTTAGAGAAACCGAATTCCTTCTTCTTACTGTCTGGGCTCACGCTACAGGCCCAGCCCCATTTATTCGTGGGTCATCTCTAGTACCGGACACGCCTGTTCCGTTCACCCCTTCGGTGAGCGCGGGCGCCGGGCTGCGCGGCTGAGGGTCGGGGAAAGAGGTTGCGCCGAACAGGCGAACCTTGAAGGGTGGGTGAGGTTGTTCGCCCAACAGGCAAAGCGGGAAAACTCAACCTCCATTCCAAGGTATCGTGCCTCCTCCCCCGCAAGTGCGCCTTAGTTGCAAATAATAACAATTTATTGAGGACTGTTTCCTTTCACAGGGTATACAGACAGGAAGTACCCTTTCACCTCTTTCCCACCCCACCCCCCAAGTTACCGTTTGGAATTTTGTTTAAAAATTACGTCCCCAGCATAAAAGAGAAAGACAGAACCAGGACTCGCCTCTGACTCCTCTCCGGGATGTCCAGCACAAACCCGAACATCATCTCGGCGATTTTGTTGGAGCTGCAGGTGGGGGTCCGGTCCACCTCCACGGCTATGGACAGCATGCGCTGCAGCTGGCACACGACCCTGCGTCCGGAGCAGAGCACAGGTGAGTGGGGGTCTGCACGGGGCCGCCCTGCTGGCTGGGGCCGTCCCGTGCGCCTGGGGGAAGCGTCTGCGGCCGTTCTACCTTCGGAGTCAGAAATGAGTCTTTGGTCAAACCCGGGAGTCTCCAGTGAGACTCCTCTGCTACGGGGCTTGTCTGCTCTCAGGGGGTGGGGCTGTTTCTACAACACTCAGTCCCGGCAGCCCCAGGGGAGACAGCTTCCGCCCGCCCTTACACCTGCGTGGTGTTCTTCGTCAGGGCCGGCTGGGGCGAGGGGTGGCTGCTGCCGGCCTTCGAGACACCTGCTCCCGCCGAGGCGTGACTCCCAGGCAGGGGCGGAGTTAACCCGCCTTCCGTCACCGCTCGGAACAGCCACTTGATCACGTCCCTGCAGGGGAAAGACAACAGGAAGCTCAGACTTCGTCCTACTGTGCGGCGCTCAGAACTGCAGCCTGGGCCCGGGCCCCTAGACCCCCCCACCCGCCGCCCCCGTGGCCGCAGAGGGCCCACAGGCGGCTCCCACGGTGTGAGCAAGCCTGCTGGTACCTCCAGGGTGGAAGGGCACTCTCGGTGGCCCCCTGGCCAGGCGGGAAGCTGGACTGAACGGCTTTTACTCGTTAGGTGTCATCTGTTAACTCGGATAACCCCGGTTTACGGTGCGCGCGGGAGGGTCCCAGTTCACGCAGGGCGAGGGCTCTGAAAGTCCCCAAGGCCCAGGCATCTCACGCAGTCAAAATTACTTCTGACCGTCACTTAGGGAGCCCGGGTAAAAATGGTGGATTGCAAACACACATCTAATTTTGTTCCTTCCTAAAATCCCACTAATAAATACTCCAGCAGATACTTTTTAAAAATCTGCAAGGAAGGGGAGGAAAAGAGAGGAGATGACAGCCATGAAGTTTGGGAAACTGGAAGGAAAGTGAAGTGTATTCACAAAAGAGAGTATTACGTAGTGGTGACAATGGGTTAGCTGCAGTGATAGGTAACGATACGAACAAACCTTTAGCACTTTGTAATCCTAAGCGAAAAATAAAAGACTTCCTTATAATAGACTCCAGGCAGCATGATACCCTTTTGTTATGGCTCAAAGGAGCTGAAATGAAGATGTATACTTTATAGGGACACGTGCAGATGCAGTAAGAGCACACACAGAGAGGAGGGAATGACGAACATTCCGGATGCTGACTACTCCGGGTGCAGGAAGGAGCCGGAGGCGGCGAGGAGAGACAGATGAGTTACTCCATGAAGGTGATCCTCCAGGTCCCAGCCTTGGATTTGGGGGGTGGTTGAGAGACACTGACTACAAAATCAAAAGTAACCAATTAACTAACTAAGTAAGGAAGTGAGTCATGTTGTAAGGATAATGTTTAATCTAAATGGCAAAGGGATACATTTTAACTGACTTAGCAGAATCGAGAAAGCTGAATTCTGAGCCAGCAGTAGCTAAGGGCAACCCTATTTAATATTACTTAACTAAGAACTAAAAAAAAAACAAAACGTTTTTCAATGAGCTCTGCAAATGGTAGTACAAGGTTTCTCCGAGGTGAGGGTGGAAGGGGCAAGCCGATGGCTTGTAAGGTGTTTGAGGAACTTTTGGACCCTAGGTCTTCTTGCACAACAACCCCGAGGACGACAGGCTGCCTCTGCAAAGAGGAAAGACGGGGGTCTCTGGACCAGGGGACCAGGCCCCGCCGGGAGGCAGAGGCGCTGGAGCGAACACGGGGCAGGACGTGGGCACACGCGTGCTGCGGGCGGGGGCCCTTGCCGTCCTCCTGCGCCTGTCTTCCAACGCCTTGGCGTCCCGGTCTCTCCGAGTCACCCAGGAGACTGAAGTCTTCCAGGGAAACCCCACCCCCCCCAACAAGGAAGGACCTGAAGGCACTGGACGAGGTGCTAGGAGAGGCGCAGCCAGCTCTGCCTGCAGGGAACTTCGGGAACGACAAGTCCCCCCCAGTTCTCGGGCTTCCGTCGGCCTTGGAGTCTGTCATGCCGCAACACGGACAGACTGCCAGGGTTCGCCAGACATCTGGGGGACATTCTCACACGAGAGAGGAAGACCAAAACGGCCAACCCCTGCTCCCCTCCAAAAGAAAAGCGATTTGGAAAAAAGAGACACCATGCAGGGAATGAACAAAAACAACAGCTATCGTGAGCGTCATCAGAGGTGTGTGCGGTCAGGAGTCCGTGAGAGAAGAAGACCACAGAATGTGATTTACTAACTTTAAAAGGGACCATTTAGCGAAGTAAGTAAAAGAGCCCTTGGAAACGGAGAACATGGCAGCGGAGACGAACGCTCCGTTCTCCGGGAACGAAGGCCGTGTCTCCAGACGCCCACGGCTCACAGACGGCACACCTAGCACAGAGAGGGTCTGACACACCTCCAGAGAGAAACGTCAGGGCACGCAAAAAGAATCGGCAGTCAAGGCAGCTGGGGAACTCGCGGCGGTTCGGGAAGCGGGAAGACAGCGGAAGATGCCCAGTGGTCTGTGGAAGAGTTTCTGTAACCTCGATGCCCACACTCAGGTACCAGCCAACGTGCGGGAGGACAAAGGTAATTTCAGGCACAGAAGATCTGGAACACTGTCCTGCCCGCATACCTTTCTGAGAAGCTGCTGCTGGGGACCGATCCATCAGGACGAGGCAATGAACCAAGAAAGAGCAGACGCTGGGCAGCTGGGCAAAGGAGGCCCAACGCTGGGAACGGGTGGAGGGCATTCCCGAGTTCACAGCAGGGGCTGGCAGCGAGAGCGACCCCTGCAGGCTGGAGGGGGAAGGGCCGCACCATGGATGCTGGAGGAGAGGAAGCTGGCAAGACCGCAGAGCGCAAGTGCGGGCTGAGGGGAGGCTCCCAGCAAACGGGAGGGGACTTGACCTTGACGTCCCACGCCCTCGAAGAGTACGAAGAAGCGAAAAGCAAGGCAATCATCGGCTCTAAGGAGAACACACAGGTAGGAGTGAGAGGAGAAGTCACCGTGGTTCAGTACTTGGCTCAGCTCAGACTAGCACACGTGGTCACGGCAACAGAAATACCCGACACTGACCGGCGCCAAACGGGGACACAACGCTAGGGACGGCATGGGAGACCCCGGTGTGGGAGGGAGGGGGAGGGCGCAAGAAGGGCAACCCCTCATCTTCACGGGGGACGTCGGTGGATGAGAGCCAGCAACGAATAGTGGAGAATCAGCAGCCCCAACAGGTTAGGCAGCCACACGGAGGAAAACAGCCCAAGAATCACGTAGATCAGGGGTGTCAGACTCACTTCACCGGGGGCCGCATCAGCTTCGTGGTTGCCTCCCGAGGGCTGAATGTAATGTCAGCTCCGTCACAGTTAAGGAGTAGTTACATGGACACAGTCCTAAAATTGTTTCAGCCCTTTGAGGGCAGACTCGAGGCTGCCGCGGCCCCCGTGAACGTGAGTGGGACGCCCCTGACTTAGATGGCAGCGCTGAAAGTAAGTACTCAGCCCTGTGGGGCAGGGAAATGCAAGTGAGGGGACCCGAGACCAGCCGATTTCTCAAACCTGGTGGAGCTGCTTTATCCTCTGTAGGGACAGTTGAAAAGAAAAGAGAAAAGGAAAGGAAAGAAAGGCCCTTCCAAAGGGGGCGTGCGCTTCCAAAGGGGGCGTGCGGAGGCTGACCTGCCGTCCCTCTCCGGGTGAAACCTCGTCTGTGAAGAATGACTGGTGCACAGTAAGTGGCACACAGGTTTCTGTGTGACGCTTCTGACACGCGCGTGCGTGCATCCGTGTGACCACGGCCTTTACCCCACGCCCGTCTCTTACTCGGGTTGAAGACAGCTGGTTCCGCATCTGGAACAGGGGCTTTTGTCCCCACAAAGCACCGATGAAGGAGGACCTGGCGTGCCCTTCAGGGCCACCAATGCCTATCCGTGCACCCCAGCTCTGTAGAGCGGGAGGCTCCCCCAGGAGAGGTGGGAATGAACGTGACTGAGGACCCTGGCCTGCCCCCACTGCCCACTCAGTCCGGCGCCTGCGCTCACACGGCAGGACGGTCAGCTGAGTGCCTCCCATTGCAACGGTCACTTTTCGATTGAACACCCACCCACGCTGCCCTGTGCTCTTCACAGATTCTCTGCGCACTGACCCTCTGCCCCTAGACTGCCAGACACGGGTTCTGGTTTCTCCTGGATCCCGTGAGGTCGTCTGAACCCGTGAAACACATGTGAAATAGAGCACAGCGGGTCCGCCGGCCCGGAGAGAGCATGAGAGCTCTGGCGTCCAGCGCATGCTTGGCGCAGAGAGAGGGTTTCAGGTCCCCAGTGTCGGTGGCCGCCCCCGTCCCGCCATCTGGCTCCTGGACTGTCTCATCCACCTCAGGCCCTCTGGCTCCTCCACGCCCCCCCCACGCCCCCCAGGGCGCGGGCAGCCAGTACCTGACGTTGTGGGGCTGCCTGTCGCAGGAGAGCACCGTGTTGGCGATGGACTGCTGCAGGTGCTGCCGCTGCTTCCTCAGGGTCTGCTGGAAGTCGTCCTCCAGCGTCTGCACCACGTAGCGCAGGAAGAGGACTCGCCCCGGCAGGCTCTGCCCCTGTGGGGGGAAAGACGAGAGGTGCCTCCTCAGTCCCCCCCGCCCCAGGACGGTGAGTGCGGGGCTCTCCAACACCGGGTGCAAAGGAAGGCCGCCTGTCGGCCAGTGTCTGCACCTGAAAGGGGGGGCGGGCAGTCCCGGTCACTGCAAAGAGGGCCATCGGGCACCTACAGCCCGGGGCGTAGGCGTGCCCACTTTCTGGTTTTAAGGGACAATGGTCAGAAGTCAGTCTCGCTCCCTTGCTAAATCTGTATGGCTTGGAACAAACCCGCAACTGTGGCTATCAGAAGAGCGCGGCGGGAACTGGCTCCAAAGCGACTCTGCTGAGCTGCTCCGTCCAACAGCCAAACCGTCAGCCTCCAGCGAGCGAGTCTGAGTGGGGGGTTTCTGTTTTGGGGGAAATGACCCCGATGCAGCCCAGCTGAGGCGGTGGAGTGCGTGGGCTTGGGTGGCACCCGGGCCCGGTTCGTGGACTTTTGTTTGAAGCCCCCAATCTAACTTGCGCTTTCAGAGTCTCAGTGTCCCCGTGGCTTACGTGGGTGGTGAGCGTTCTCACCACAGCCGAGCCGGTGTGAGTCCCTGCCCCTCGGCAGGCGGGCACGCACCATGTGGCAGTTTCCCTCTCCCGGGGGACAAGGGCTGGGGCCCGGGCCCGGGGGCTCAGGCTCTGAAACCTGAGGGTGAGGGGCGCCAGGCCACAAGCCATTTCTCGGGTGGGCAGCACCCGAGGGTTGGCATCTCTTCCAGAAACATAAGCTCTCGAAGCAGGGTACGGTTGGGTCAGCAGGAAGAATGGCCATTCCAAGCACCTGCCATTTCTTTCTGTTTCTGGAGGAGGTTAGGATGGGATACCTGTGTCTTTTAAGGTGTCTCTAATCTCTATTGATAGAAATGATTTTTGAAAACTCCAGGACTGGTGCCAGGTTTGTGAAGAAAGAAGTCCCCCGGTGACACCAGTCTGCACAAGCACTAGTCTCCTTCCCGAGGGAACAACTTCTTACCTGTTTCTTCTGCAGGTCACCCTAAACATCTCTAAAGTATGTGCTCTTATCACTAGTTTAGTTTTTTAAACGATTTTATTTATTTATATTTTAGAAAGAGGGGAAGAGAGGGAGAGAAACATGAGTCGGTTGCCACTGGTATGCACCCCAACAGGAGACCAAGCCTGTAACCCAGGCACGAGCCCTGACCGGGAACCGAACCCGAGACCTTTTGGTTTGCAGAACAGCGCCCGAGTCACACTGGTCAGGGCAGGGACAGCACCCGGTACTCCTAGGTGGTCTCCCATCCAAGTACTAACCAGGCCCAACTCTGCTTAGCTTCCAAGATCAGACGAGATCGGGTGTGTCCAGGGTGGTGTGGCTGCAGACTCTTACTGCTATTTCTCGATTTATGAACTTCAGACATTACGTATTGTTTCTGCTACGCCAGAGAAGGATCTGACTCATTCTGCCACTTCCCACTTCTCTTCCTAAAATAACTAACTCATTTTACACTCCACCATCTACAGGTAACATCTTCTGTCTTCCCCGTTGTGGGGTGAGGGTGCCGCGATAGCCCTGCTGTTCTCACACGCGCGATCTCTTCTCATCCCCCGACCTTTATCTTCCGTACCTTCCTACTTCCCATAGTTAAAATGAACAATCGTCTTCCATGCTGTGTATAAACTGATTCTAAACATAACTAGATAGTGTTCACAGTGTACGGATCGTGTTCAAGTTATTTACTACACTGGAAATCCACGTAGTATACTAAGAGAATCTTTCATTTCTTGTGAAGATTTTTTTATTTTCTTAAAGCTTCTTTTTCATCCTTTCTACACTGCTTGCCATTATTGCTTCTCTCACCTCCTCAAGAAAGGTGTTGAATTTTGAGAATACCTTTCTTTCCCAAATTGGGGGTTTTTTTTTGTATTTTTAAAAGCAAACTTTACTGACAAAGCATAAAATTCACCCACTGTAAACGTACAACTCATGTACATGTATTGAGTTTGGCCACTCAACACATAACCATAGCTATAACCACCAGCCCCATGTCTGTCTGTCCACAGATAATTCCCACCCCTACCTCCCTCCAGCCCCAGGCAGCCACTCATCTACTTCTGGCTGGACCGACTGGCCTTCCTGGACATTTTGTATACACAGGATTATATAAAATGTGATCTTGCGCACATGTGTGTGTGTTTGGGGGGGCGTCCCTTTTACTTGGCGGAATGTTTTCCGAGGCTCATCCGTGTCACAGCGTGGATCAGAGCTCAGTCCTTGCTGAGTGGTGCTCCTGTGTGTGTGTGTGCGGCACGTTGCGTGACCAGTTCGCCAGCCGCTAGACACCGGGGTTGTTTCCACTTTGGGGCTGTTACGAATACGGTTACTGTGAACACTCACACGCCAGAGTTTGGTGGACAAAGGTTTTCATTTTTCTTGGGTCGCTGTCTGGAAGCACAACTGCCAGGGTACACGCTGTTCCTGCTAAGACTGCTCAAGGACCTGCCGACCCGTTCTCCAGAGCGGCCGGACCCTGCGCAGTCCCACCACAACGCACGAGGCCTCTATCTCCGCATCCCCACCAGCCAACGTTTGCTGCTCTCCGCTTTCTTTAAACATCATTTTAATTCTGATAAAACGTTAACATAAAAACGAGCATCTTGACCCCTTTTCAGTGTGCAGGTCGGTAGTGCTAAGCACATTCGCATAGATCTGTGCGACGGATCTCCGGAACTTCTCCATCTGGCTCAGCCGCAGCTCTGCACACACCGAACAATACGTCCATGTCTCCCCTCCTCCCAGCACCTGGCAAGCCAAGGCCTCGGGGCTGCTTCTGGGAATCTGACCGCGGCAGACGCCTCACGCAAGTCACACCGTCTAGTGTGTCTCTTTGCGACGGGCCCGTTTCACTTAGTGTCACGCCCTCGCTGCACTGCCGTCCTTGTTACACGCGAGAGGACTTCCCTCCTAGTTCAAGCAGAATGAACACTCCCGACCACGGGCGGACCACGTTTTGTCCAGCCTGCCACGGGCACCTGGGTCGCTTCTACCTCTCAGCTGTTGAGAACAACGCCGCGAAGCACGTGAGCGTGCAGGTATCTCCCCCCCCCCCGCCCTCAAGTCTGGGCACACACATCCAGCAGAGGGACTGGGGGGTCGTACTGTAACGGTTTTTCATGTCTCCGAGGAACTACCATCTGGTTTTCCAGAGTGGCCGCACCACGTTACCATTCTAGCCACGGTGGACGGGGATCCTAATTTCTCCACGTCCCTGCTGCTGCTTACTCTCTGTTAAACATTGTCTCACGTGCTCACTGGCCGTTTGCAGCTCATCGTCAGAGAAACGTCTTTTCGTCTCGTCTCTTCGAGTCCTCTGCCCTTCTGAAAGTCAATTTGGCTTATTAAGCTGTAGTTCTTTCTGTTAACCCCTTATCGGATACACGATCTAAAAGCATTTTCTCCCATTCCCCAGATCGCCTTCCCACTCCTGTCCTTGGCCGCAGTTTCTGTGATGTGGGCCCTTTGGCCTGCGTTGGCATTTATTTATTTATTTTTTTGCCTGTGCCTTGGGTGTCGTATCAGAAAAATCAATGCCAAATCCACTGTCGTGAAGCTTCCCCTCATGTTTTCCCTTACGGGTTTTATAGTTCGGGGTGTTACATTTGGATCTGCGCCCCACTTTGCATATGGGTGATGGGGAAGGGTCCAGCTGCACAACTTTGCACGTGCTTGTGGGTTTTCCTGACGACATTTGCGGCAGGGACGCTGCGCTCCCCATGGAACGGCCTTGGCGTCCTTGGCGAGCGTCACCTAACGATTTCCACGGAGTTCGACTTTGAGTTCTCCCGTCTACTCCGTGTGTCTCTCCTTGTAAGAGTGCTACACTGTCCGACTGCTGTATCTTTGTAATGTGTCTTAAAATCAGGAAGTGGGAGTAGTCCAACTTTGTTCTTCTTGTTCAAGACTGTTTTGGGTTATCTATTCTGGGTTCTTTGAGATTGCGTATGAATTTTAGGATGGATTTCTCTTTTTTTTTTAAGATTTTATTTATTTATTTTTTAGAGAGGGGAAAGGAGGGAGAAAGAGAGGGAGAGAAACATCAAAGTGTGGTTGCCTCTCACGCACCCCAGACTGGGGACCTGGCCCGCAACCCAGGCATGTGCCCTGACTGGGAATCAAACCAGTGACCCTTTGGTTCACAGACTGGCGCTCAATTCACTGAGCCGCACCAGCCAGGGCTGGATTTTTTTATTTCTGAAAAAAAGAGAAAAAAAAAGAAAAAAAAAGCTTTTAGGATTTTGATAGGGATTGTATTGAATATGTGGATTGCTTTGGGCAGTATTGCCATCTTAACAATATTTAGTCTTCCAATCCATGAACATGAGAAGCCTTACCGCTTATTTATGTCTTCTTTATTTCCTTTTGGCAATGTTTTATAGTTTTAGGTGTGCAAGTTGTTCACCTCCTGGTCATTTTTATACCTAAGTATTTTATTATTTTTGATGTTATTGTTAATGGAATTGTTTTAATATTCTTTGTAAATCATTAGTATATAGAAATAAACTGATTTTTGCATAATTTTGAATCCTGCAACTTTGCTGAATTCCTTTCTTCTTTTTTTTTTTAAAGATTTTATCGGTTTATTTTTAGAGAGGGAAGGGAGGGAGAAAGAGAGAGTGAGAAACATCAATGTGCGTTTGCTGGGGGCTGTGGCCTGCAACCCAGCATGTGACCTGACTGGGAATCGAACCTGCGATGCTTTGGTTCTCAGCCCGCACTCAATCCACTGATCTACGCCAGCCAGGGCTGAATTCCTTTATTCTATTTTCTGTATGGAATCTTCAGGGTTTCCTACATGTAAGGTCATGTCATGTGTGAACAGAGATAATTTTCTTTTCTTATTTAGACGCCCTGTATTTCCTCCCCTCGCCTGACTGCTTTGGCCAGAACGTCCCGCACTGTGTCGAAGAGGAGACGTGGAAACAGACACCCTTGCCTCGTTCCTGCCTTTAGGGGAAAAGCTTTCAGGATCTCACCGCTGAGCACGGTGTCTGCCGTAGGTTTTGACACAGGGCTTTTGCAAGTTAGTTTCCTTCCACTCCTATTTTGTTGAGTTTTTATCATGAAGGGGTGTTGAATCTTGTCAGATGCTTTTCTGCATCAGTTGAGGTGATCGTGCGGAGTTTGCCCTTCACTCTGTCAGTGTGGTGCCTCACAGGGACTGGCTTGCGTGTGCTGAGCCATCCTTGAATTCCTGGGTAAACCCGCAAGGTCGTCATGGTGTATCGTTCCTATGACACGCTGCTGACTTTGGTTTGCTAGTGTTGTGCTGAGAATTTCTGCAGCAATGTTCATAAAGGATGTTGGTCTGTAGCTTTCTTGGTGTGTCTGAGTCTAGCTGTGATATCAGAGTGATGCTGGCTTCTCAGGCTAAAGAGACGTTATCAGATATCTATCTTATAAAATCTACTGAGACTGACTTGTGGCCTAGCATATGGCCTGTCCTGGAATATGTCTCGCGTGCACTGAGGAAAAAGTATACACTGCTGCTGAGTAGAATGTTCTGCAGGTAAGTGTTAGATCTGGTTGGTTTATCACGTTAAGTCCTCTCTCTCCTTGTCTTCTGTCTGGTTGTTCTACCCATTACTGAGAGTGGGGTATTAAAATCTCCAACTATTAACATAAAACCCTCTATGTCTCCCTTTAATTCTGTCAGTTTTTATTTCATATTTTGATCTTTCATGAGGTGCATACATATCTGTAACTTTTTTTTTAATCCTCACCTGAGGACATGCTTATTGATTTTTAGGGGTGGGGGCGGAGGAGGGGAGAGAGGGAGACAGAGAAACATCAACGTGAGAGAGAAACGTGTCCTGACCAGGGATCGAACCTGCGACCTAGGTATGTGCCCTGAGGATCAAATCTGTAACCTTGTGGTACGTGGGGTGACTCTGCAACCGACGGGCCACCCAGCCAGTAGTGTTCCCTCGCTCTTCGGATGTGTGCCTGCAAGTAACCTGCTGAGAAATGGGGTATGAGGCTACTTTTCAAGTCCCTGTATGTCTGGAAATGTCTTTATTCTACCCTCACACTGGACTCCTGTTTCAGCTGCGTATAGCATTCTAAGTTGAAAATAATTTGTTCCATCCAAGTGCTTTTGGATGAGCAGATGGAAAGATGGCAAGTTCAGGTCAGAATGCAGAAGAATTATTTTCTGGAGCACCAACTCTAGTAGTTGCCTTCATTGGTGACAAACGGGTCATTAAGTTTCTTAGACAACGAATCCTTAGGTAACTTGATGACTGCACGTCCTGTACTCCACAATGGAGAGGCTGTCGGTTCCAGCTACAGACTTTCAACAGACACACGGCCCGTGTTTGACTCGAACCCTCCTGTGTGTGGTGTTTCCGAGTCCAAAGCCTCTCTGCCCTGGGCACAGCCTTCCTCCCTCCTCGGCTGCAGCCCCTCCCACATGCGGTCTAGCCGCTGGCTTTCTCTGCCTGGCTTCATGGCCACCACTCTCACAGCTCCTTTAGCTCCTCCCTCTTCCTTCAGATCTAAGGTCCTTCGCCTTATTTTCATTGCCACGGATTCATGACTCTCCTCATTCATTTACGGGACCTCAAGGAGAGGGACAAGTGGAAGCACTCACTCGTGAACTGGGAGACAGCACGTGCCCTTCCAGTGGGAATTTTTTGATGGGGATGAGAGTAGAAGAAGGAAATAATGGCGAAGGCTTTAGTATCAGATTTGCTGTTACTTTTGTTTCGAGTTAGAAATTTGCTCTGCAAAAGATACACTCTCGTAATTGTTATGTTACCTCTTCCTCCATGACGTAAGTGAGCAGCTTCCAGTCCCACTCCACTGTCTTGGCATTGGCTGGATGGAGCCTGCAAGTCAAGTGACATGGAATTAGCAGAGTTGAGTGGGAGAGGGGATGGGATCTGGAAGGTGATAGAAGCCAGAGGCTTTCTTATCCTGAGCGCTCTTGCCCCCTCTCTGATACAATACCATGCCATCGGAGGCCAATGGAACTCCCTGCTGTTTTGTTTTTCTACACAGTATCCACTTCCCGTTCGGGAGGCAACAGTAACCCAATGCTGCCTGGAGGACATCTACTCTGTGCTAGCCCGCCTGCCGGCTCCGCCCGCCGGGCCCTGAAATGGAGCCCACGGGGCACACCGAGCCAGTCCTGACATTCTACCCCGCGGCGCCCGGTGACTGGCTCACACAGACGGGCTCGTGTGCTACGTGAAGTGCCAGTTAGGCTACAAGACTGGTTTGCAGAACTCTCGTGTGACTCTAGAGGAAGCAGGCGGGCTCTCGCACTGAGCGTATCATAAAGGTCACGAGAGCTGGAGGCTGAGAAGGCCGCCCCTTGAAGGCTGGGCAGAGGCAGAGCAGAGCGGGAAAACGGGTCCTTGTGACCGTTCCTGAACTGAACTAAGTCGTCTTATTCTTAGGTCTCTGGCAACAGGAGTCACTAAATTCTATTTTACTAGCTTAAAGCTCGCTTGGACTGGGTCTCCTGTCCCCCGTAATCCAGCTAGCACTGATGCACTGCGTCGTTCTCTCTAACGGTCGGCTGAATAGAGACGGGGCAAGAGGGCGCTGTGCCCCGAGTCCGGGCTCCCCAGAAGGCGTGCCGGCGCCTGCGGTTCGTACTGTTGGATTTTCATGAGGAGCATGTAGGCCTCCTTGAGCACATCGGCCGGCTCCGAGCCGCTGAGCAGGATCTTCTGCACGATGTGGGCCACGATCTCGCGGGGTGGGTAGTGCTGGGGCGACACGAAGTCCATCAGGAACTGCACAGTGCCCAGGGAGAAGTTCTCTTCGATGGTGTTTGTCACCATCCGTAGTCTTCGATGGGGGATGGGCTCCAGTTTCTGACCCTTGCTCTGTAGAGATAAGAAGAAATGAGTTCGGACGGGTTTCTACAGATATAAAAACAAGAAGTACTGGAACAGGTTGAAGACAGCAAAGTCTTCCATGCACTGGAAACATTCACAATTTTTAAAAAAATAGATTGGAAAGCCTTATCTAAAAAAAAACTTTCAGTGATACAGGAAATGCTTATATTAAGTTAAAAAATAGGAATTCAGTGTTGTACATATAACATGACTTCATCATGTTAAAACACAGCACAGAAAGAATAATACAGAAGAGTTAGAGGCTAGCCTACGCTGCTTTTGGAGTAAGGGTGACAAGATATTTAGGGGTAGTTATAATAGTTCATCAGATACTGAAATAAATAGAGGAAGAAAGATATTTTAAATGTTCTATTGTCAGGAGAAGAATCCAATTTTGTTAATTTTTTTGGAGTGGATAGTAAATAATAAGGTGCTTTCTCACCCCAAACGTGTGCATATAAAGTCTGGGGGGGTGGACATGAGAAGTGGTTTCTGTGATCTGGGTGGTGAAACTACAGACAAGCTTTCCTCTACAGACTCTTTTGTGTTTTTCAATTTTTCCATAATAGACATATATTACTTTCATAATCAGAAGAAAAACAAACATTAAAAAGTCTGATACAAGCCCTGGCTGGTGTGGCTGAGGGGCTGAGTGCCAACCTTTGAACCAAAGGGTCACTGGTTCCATCCCCAGTCAGGGCACAGGCCTGGGTAACGGGCCAGGTCCCCAGTAGGGGGCGCATGAGAGGCAACCGCACACTGATGTTTCTCTCCCTCTCTTCCTCCCTTCCCCTCTATCTAAAAATAAAATAAGTAATCATAATTTTTTTAAAGTTTGATATGGGAATATAATAATAGCAATAATTATAAGACAATTTTTGAACATTTAACCTATCCTCACTTAACTCTCACAACAACCCTAAGAAATACATACTGTTATTGGTCCTGCTTTCTAGGTAAGAAAACTGAGATTTAGAGAATAAGCATTTGTCAAGCAACAAATGGCTGGCATACACCGGTGGTATCACGCCAGAGTTATCCTGTAAGCTCGTACTCTCCAGAAACAGCAAAACCAACAATGATACATACGGTTTTTTAAGTGTTCAAGTGCATATATATAAAGAGGCAATGGGGAAGGAAACACACCGAGTTATTAATAATAATAAATGCTGAGTGACAGTACCATGGGTAATTATTTTTTTTATAGTTTATATTTTTAAATGTCTTATATTAAGCAAGCATAATTTTTAAAATTTGAGAATAGGTCCTAACTGTAAAACAGCAACCAAAGGTTTGATGGCTGATGTGTAACAATGAAACGGTGGTGGTGGGAACCGCCCTGGTTAGCACTCGCGTCTCAAAGCACGCGAGGGTGTCCCCTGACCCTGACCGCACTGATGAGAGGCCAATGCCACGGGCAACAAGGGATGGACGCCACGGGCTGCAAGGAATGGACACCACGGGCAGCAAGGAATGGACACCACGGGCTGCAGGGAATGGACACCACGGGCTGCAGGGAATGGACACCATGGGCTGCAATGAATGGACACCACGGGCTGGAGGGGATGGACACCACAGGCTGCAAGGAATGGACACCACGGGCTGGAGGGGATGGACACCACAGGCTGCAAGGAATGGACACCACGGGCTGCAGGGAATGGACACCACGGGCTGGAGGGGATGGACACCACGGGCAGCAAGGGATGGACACCACAGGCTGCAAGGAATGAATGCCACGGGCAGCAAGGGATGGACACCACAGGCTGCAGGGAATGGACACCACGGGCTGCAGGGAATGGACACCACGGGCAGCAAGGGATGGACGCCACGGGCTGGAGGGGATGAAGAGCAAGGGAAGAGAGCAAAGCCTTGCTTTGGTGCCTGTTCCGCGTGTGACGCGTTCCACAGCCTTGACCCCGTGCTATTCGCTTCCTGCCCACAAATGTGACATCTGCAAATGTACAGTGTTTATCAGTTATTTCCACGCCTGTTTCCTGAGAGAGAGCTAATACTTACAGAGCACTTTTATAGGTCCTGGAAGGGGGCTTTGTGCTTTATGTGTTTACCTCAAAGCCAAACAACCCCGTGACGTTGGCGTTGTGACTTCTTTTAGAGCTGAACAGAGAGAGGCTCAGAGGAGTCAGGGCCCACGGCTGGTAAGTGAGAGCACAGGGGCTGGCCACGAGGTTTTCTGGGGGAAACTGCCCAGTGAAGAAGTATTAAAGGCCCCAGAGAAGCCACGGGAGAGACAGGAAGGACATACGGCTGCACTCCAGCCGGCGGAGGTCAGGAGGTAGGAAAGGCAGAAGAGGAAAAGTCTGCTGTGTCATCTGAGCCATGTGTGCACGGAAGGGGGACAGGGTCTCCCTGCCGGAGCCCGCAGCTCCTGGCGGCCTCCCTGGTTATGCAGCGCCGGAGAGCACGGCAGCTCTGACTACAGAAACATCGGCTCTTCCGAGTCCCCAAGCTCTCTGGGTAACTAACAGCTGTGTCACCAACCTGAGGCACACCCACGGGGAAAAAGAACAGGCGAGGGGTTGGGAGAGGCACTCAGAAGAAGACCAACTTATCAGAAGACATAACAACAATCAAAGCGAGAGAGGACCCTTCACTCTCCAAGGCCGAACCAAGGGGGGGCGCCTGGCCTGCGAAGCTGGGTTCCGGATGGTTCCGGCGAGAACGCACTTGTGACTTCCTGAGCCACTTCCAGCCCGCCTGCCTGACACTGGCCCCAGTACCTGCTTATGGAAAATGAGAAAACAGCTTCGCATTTTTTTCCCCTTACACGTCTCATTTAGTTCAGTGAGGACCAATGGGGAGTAACATTCCCACTAAAATCTTAAGACCGAGTGTCCCCCCCAGATGTCAGAGACTAATCATTTTGGAGGCAGCGGAGTGTCAGGAGCGGTGTTAGGATTTCTGGGACGCGGCAGCTGTAACGAGGGCACCCTGCAAGGAGAGGCCCGGGCACGGAAGAGCGGACGTGGCAGGCACTTTACGTACGCTGTCCCACGTAATGGTCCCGGGAGGCGGGCGCTCGTTTCCATTTTACAGACGGGAAAGCTGAGGCTCGGACAGGTCGACTCTACAGGGCCGGTTTTATTAAGCGTGGGGCCGAAACTGGAACCCAGACCTGACTACACTACACGGTTCCGCAAGCCGGGGAGAGACAGAAACGTCAAGTTCACGCCAGGCGCGTTCTCCCACGCAGGGACTGCCGGCGCACGGCCTTAATGCCGGGGAGACAGGTCGGCTCACCTCTCTCACGTCTTTGTCGGGGATCAGCGTCTGGAAGAACAGGTGGTGCACCGGCGGCCGCAGGAAGTACTTCAGTCTGTGCAGGCAGGGCCTGTTGTACAGCGCGCTGGGCGCCACCTGGGCGGGCCCGGGGTCGGCAGGCCCCGAGAGGGCCATCTCCGTCCTGGCCGGAGTTTCGGTGACCGAGAGCCAAGGGACTGGGTGTAAGGAGGTTTCGGACTGCGGAGACTGAGGGCTGGGAGCGCAGCTCGGAGAGGAGGGAGCCGAGACGTCCATGGGGGTGTCACGGTTCTGTGCGTCGTCTGGGGGAGGGTCGGGCCGGCCTCCTGGCCAGCATGGCATGTCTCCAGGCGAATGTGGCACATCGGGTAAGTGTGAGATTTTGCCAGGTGACTGTGGTGCACCCACTGGTGACCATGGCATACCTCCTGGTGACTGTGGCATGCCTGTAGGTGACTGTGGCTTGTCTGTAGGTGACTGCGGCATGCCTGTAGGTGACTGCGGCATGCCTCTTGGTGACTGCGGCATGCCTGTAGGTGACTGCGGCTTGTCTGTAGGTGACTGCGGCATGCCTGTAGGTGACTGCAACTTGCCTGTAGGTGACTGCGGCATGCCTCTTGGTGACTGCGGCTTGTCTGTAGGTGACTGCGGCATGCCTGTAGGTGACTGCAACTTGCCTGTAGGTGACTGCGGCGTGTCTGTAGGTGACTGCAATGCATCACCTGGTGGCTGTGGCACGTCTCGCAATAACTGTGACATGTCTCCTGACGACTGTGGCACACCTGGTGACCGTGGCATGTCTCCCAGCGACCACGGTGTGCCTTGCAGATATGCCACGTCTGGTGGATGTGGTACGAGTGGAGGTGGGCCTGGTACCCCTTGAGGTAGGCCCAGGGAGTCTTGAGGTGGGCAGCGTGAGTCCTGAGGTGGGCTTGGTGGGTGCTGAGGATGGCACGATGGGTCCTGAGGCGGGCATGGCCCGTTCTGAGGGCATGGCGCTTCTTGAAGCAGGCTGGGCAAAGCTTGTAGTTGGCACTGCACAGCTTGTGATGGGCACGACAAGGCTCGGGGCGGGCACGAGGAGGCCCGCGGCGGGCACGGCGAGTCTCGCGGCGGGCACGGCAAGGCTCGCAGTGGGCACAGCAAGGCTTGCGGCGGGCCGGGTGCATCTTGCTGTGGGCACGCCAAGGGCACCCTCTGACTGCCGCCGCCACCATTATTGCTCACCGGGGAGAGGGGGTGGACATCTGAAGGTGGCTGCAGGCTGGCCAAGAAGCCGAGGTCCCCTTTGAACGTGGTCGAGCTGCAGTTCGGCTCTGCTAGCTGAACAGAGTCCCCGCTGACGGACGGAGAGGGCTGGGGCTCTTCGAGTGCGGTCTCTTCCCAGAGGTCCACGTCCACGGGGTCGCTGTTAATGATCCTCCGTGCCCCGGGCCACGAGCTTCTGTCCGCCCGCCCTTCCCACGCCTCCTTGCTGGCGAGGCCGGCACATGTGTGGGGGTTGGCCGACTCCTTCTGGGGAGGAGTAACAGGCTCTAGGGTCAAGTCGAAAGTGGCGATAGGTCTGGGTTCGTCCTCAGTGGTCGTCAGGTCGATCACACAGATCCCGCCGCGATCCTTGGGCCTCGGTCTGCTCTCTCGGGTTAAGTCGATGAAGTCCTGGGGAGGGAGTGGGAGAAGACAGAGGGTCACGGAGGGAGTCCCGGCCTTATCTGAGACAGGCTTACATTTCGTTTGGAAGAGCAGATACACGGGATAACCTGCAACAGAAGCTACAGAAAAGAGAAGATAATATAAGAGGATCTGGTGTGTGCCAAGAGCTTTCACGTGTCTCTGAGTTTCACAACCACGCTGTCAGGTAAGTGTTAGCGTCTCCACTGCACAGGTGGGGAAACAGAAGTTTAGAGACATCAGGCTGTTTACCTGAGGATCAGAGAGCTACGGAGCAGAGCCCAACATGCAACGCAGGTCTCTTTCCTTCTCTCCCTGTTAGGGCCGAGGAGTGTACAGCTTTAGCCAGTGTGTAACCAGCTCATCGTCAGATACGGAGGCTGATACGGTAAAGGGTCATAAAATGATGAGGCAGTTCACGGAGCCCCCGCGATGCCAGCCGGACGTCCTGGAACCAGCCTCCCGTGAGCCCGGAATGATACTGCTCTCCCTTCCAGGCGTCTTCTCGCCTGCTTGGGTGCCTTGCCACCAGCGTGTTCCATGCCAGCTGCCGGGCTACCACAGCTACCATGCCGCTTCTTGTCAGACGTGACAGTCGCCACTGTCAACGGCACCAAAGCAGGTACAGGACGCTGGGTGGGCCAGTGAGAGGCTGGCGTGCGCCTCACCTGGAAGAGGGGATGCTGGGTGAAACCAGCACCTCCTTCCTCAGAAGCTGCCTTTGCCGCTTTCAGTGGGTCTCCGCAGCTGGCTGAGCGCCACAGCGCGTGGCTGCGAGGCCACCGAGGTAGCACGTAACATTCACCCTTACCATGTAATCAAGGCACTGTTTCACACTGCTGGGTCAAAAGGATGAATAATTCGATACATGATGTTGGGATAATTAGCTAACCATATGGAGAGAAAAATAGCAGATTACCATTTTACCCCTTTTTTGAAACGAATTCCAGGTAGATTATTAATGAACTAATGAAATGTAAAGAGTATTTTTATAACCTTCGGAGTGAGGAAAGCCGTTCTAAGCATGACAAGAAGACAGAAGTCGAACAACGTACAAGGGCGGCAGAACTGAATGTAACTCAAAACTCTGTAACTCCCGTAAGGAAGACCAAAAGAAGTCAGGGGTCGGGGAAGACGTGACCTGTGCGGTGCAGGGGCCGCATTGGTTTTTTCAGTACAAACGGCCACCGGCTGGCCGGCTGGGACACCAGCACCGCACCCCCTCAGCCCCAGAAGGCTGGAAGGCCACAGTGTAGTGAGTGCGAGCCCACCCTCTCTGGGGGCTTTTCGGGAGAATCTGTTCCAGGCCTTTCTTTCAGCTGCCGGAGCCCCCAGCAGCCCTCAGTGTGCGCTGCCTTGCCCCTCCACCGCCCCCGTCAACACCTGGTGGTCTTCCTCGCCCGCCCTCCGCACCATATTGTAAGGGCACCGGTCATGTTGGATCACGGCGCCCCCCTACTCCCCATGACTTCGTCTTCACTGGCCACATCAGCGACGCCCCGATTCCCAAATAAGGTCCCTCTCTGCAGTGAGAGTCGGGACTTCGACATATCTTTTTGGGGGACCCAATTCAACCCACAATGAGTCTAACACATAAGCAATATTTACATACTAGTAAGAAAAATCACCCCCCAACGGGACAATGAAAGGCAATTCACATGCGTGCGCACACACACACACACACACACACATGCACACACAATAGAAATCCGTCTCCAGTAAACACAAGACGCCCGCCGCTACGCCCTGCTGAGCGCGCTGTCTGACCTCCGGCCTTCCCAGCTGCTCCTCTACGCGCCCCCCACCCCACCCCGCCGTCACCTGGGCGGGGCCCTGGGTGTTCTTCCTCCGGTAGCCGCTCAGCCTAGGTGATCACATCCAAGCCACTACGACCTACGTGCTCACGACCCCCGATCTGTGTCCCTCCTGAGCAGGAGGCCCTCCCCGTACAGACCCAGTGCAGACGCCGCACCTGGCATCTCCGGCTGCTAACCCACGGGCGTCTTACATTCAGCACCTTCGAAACGGCCGCCTTGGAAACCATTGCTCCTCCAGCTCGGTTCCTCCCCCGGTCTTCCTCATGTCGGTGAGTGGCGTCCGGCGGCTCAGGCCCACACCAGGACACCCCTCTCCAGTGCTCCGTCCCCCTCATTGTCCATGACCGAGCCATCAGGACCCGCTGGCTTTACCGGCACTTCCCAGATGCCGTCTCCTGCCGCGTCCTAGCGGTCTCCGAGCCGCTGCGCCACTGCAGGCCCAGCTTCGGCCGCGCCTGGACAGCGGCACACACCTCGCAGACTGAACCCCCCGATGCCCCTGTTGCCCCCTTACGGTGAATGGACTGTGTTTCTGGCTTGTTTAGGACACTTCCAGTGTCCACCTGTTGCCTGAGAACCTGTCCTGTCGGCACCCCGTCATTTGCAAAGGAACCCCCATTTGGATGATTAATGATGCGTCACCTTTGTTACAGTTCTTCTGTCGCACAGTAAGTAGCTAGGGTCACCTTTTCCAAAGGTAAGTCAGACCATGTCCTTCCCCTGCTTAAAATCCTTCAAAAATGTCTGAATACACAGAATAAAACCCCAGTTCCCTATGGGGTCTGCAAGGCCCTGTGCAACCCAGCCCACCTTCCTCTCATCCCTTCGGACTCGGTCCTTCACTCCCCACGCGCCATCCTCGCGGGCCTTCCTGCGCCCCCAGTGAGTCGTCAACTCTCCCACTCCCAGGACTTTATTTCTGCTGCACCCTGCGCTCCTCCCTCACTCCTCCGGACCTCAGAACACACCTGCCCGTCGATCACTGCGGTCTCGGATCCAGCACCAACCCTTCCCAGAGGGGTTCTCTGAAAACACAACCGGGGCCCCCAACCCCGCCCAGGTTACCCCCCGTTAAACCGCTCCCGTGTTCGTGGGTGCTCGTCCTTCCCCCTGAGAACGCAGGTCCGTGGTTGTCCTGCTCACCTCTGGTCCCCAGAGTCAAGGCGTATGCTCAAGAAGAACTTATTGAAAAAAAAAATGAATCACAACCAAAGAAAAAAAGTAAAGCACGATGGCTGACACAATCTATCAGATCCGCCAAGATGAAAGGAATGAAGAGGCCTCAGTTTTCTTCCTAACACTGTGTATCGCCTGGTATTCCACTTGTGTGGTTGTTAACTGTTTGTTCTCTGACTAGAATGAAATCTCCACGAGGGCAGGGCCTCGGTCTAGTTCACAGCTGTATCCTCAGCACCTGTGAGGGCCTGGTGTTCAGGAAATGTCTACTGGAGAAATATGCCCTGGCTGGTGTGGCTCAGTAGATTGAGCGCTGGCTTATAAACCAGAGGGTCGCAGGTTCGAATCCCAGTCAGGGCACATGCCTGGGTTGTGGGCCAGGTCCCCGGTAGGGGATGTGTGAGAGGCAACCACACATGAATGTTTCTCTCCCTTTGTTTCTCCCTCCCTTCCCCTCGCTCTAAAAATAAATACAGTATTTAAGAAGAAAAAGAGAAACGGACACTATCTAGGGCTGGGATAATGAAGTAGTGAGGAAAGGGGTGTGACGAGACTGCAACTGACGCACAATTTCTGTAGGAAGTTTGGCAACATATGTCTAAAGTCTTCAGAGGGGGGCACACCGTTTGACTCAGCAATCCCACATCTAAGAGGATCTTATCCCAAACAAACAAGTGAACAGGGGTGCAAAGGTTATTGCTGAGGCAATTCCTCACTGGGCTGTTCATAACAGAGACACTTAAAAACAACCAGCACGATTGATGGGTGATAAATTATAAACCTGTACAGTGAAATACACTACAAATACTGGTAAAGACGTGTATTTATTAGTGTGGAAAGAGATAAAAGTACATTAACAGAAAAAGGCAAGCTAAAAAACACATGTATAGCAAGATCTCACTTGCAAAAACACGTATGGGGGGACATGTGGGTATGCATGAGCATACATGAACACTTACAGATAAAAGTTCAGACAGACCTACATCAAAACGTTAACATTCCTTGTCTTGGGATAGTGAGATTAAGGGCAATTTTCATTTTCCCCTTTATGTACATTTCAAAAATATTTTTGTAATAGGTCAGCCAAAATGAACCGGCTATACGTACGTGTTCTGTGTGGAAAAGAAAAAACGGTAAGATTATTGGAAACACAGACGTGCTTCACCGACTCAGCGAAGGCGAAAGCCCCAGCGAAGGGCCAGGAGCTCAGGAGCATTCGCCACAGTATCGCGGAGAGCTGCCTGAGCTCCCGACTTCAAGCGTGTTGCTTCCCCACAGTCAGTATTACAAAAAAGGAAAAAAAAAACCTGTAAAAGTTGTTTCTTTTATTTCACGGCCTGCCAAGCTTGAGCAGGTCAGGCCTGGCTGAGAAACAACACAGAGTGTAGCCAAAGTTCTCGTTTGTGGTGGGCGTTTTCCTTGCGTTGCCCCGTTACAAATCTAACGGTCCTGCAAGGCAGGCACTAATGTTCCCAGGAGCCAAAGCTGAGGGAGGTGACAGGACTGGCCGACGCTCACACAGCTGGTGTGTCAAGGTTGTGATGTGTAGAGGTCTCTCTGGCCTCGGGGCCTTCAGGAAGAGGGAAAGCTAGACAAAGGCACTTAAGCCTTTAAAGATTTTATTTATTTTTAGACAGAGGGGAAGGGAGGAAGAGTGGGAGAGAAATATCAATGTGTCGTTGCCTCTCATGTGCCCCCTACTGGGGACCCTGCCCGAAACCCAGGCGTGTGCCCTGACTGGGAATGGAACCTGCGACCCTTTGGTTTGCAGGCTGGCATGCAAGCCACTGAGCCACACCAGCTGGGACCACTGGAGGCTTTATTACCTTGCAAGTCTCTCAATGCCTTTGATCTTTTACAGGGGTTACCCTACCTCCCTTCTCTAATTGACAAGAGCGAAGAAAGGAGAAAAGCTTGGTGTTTTCAGAAAGCGGTGGTAAAATATCTAGAGACAGCTTACTCTCTAGCACTTGCCCTTCATTCCTCTTCAACTCGAAAAGGGCCAAGAGCAAGATGCCTGGTTGGGCGGCCATGGGACGGGGGGCACGTAGAGAGCGCATCCATGCACGCGTGGGAAGGGCCACAAGAGACAGCAGACTGGGATAAGGACACCACCTGTGTGCCTGAAGGAGGAAGCTGGACTAAGATGAAGGAAAAGAGACAGCACTCGAGACAACGGAAGTGGGTGGGGAGGACCAAGTTCAAGGGGGAGTGAGAGAAGGGGCAGTAGGAAGGAGGGGGCACCTGGAGGAAAGGCAGCTGTGAGTTATTCTCAGTGTGTCTTCCTTCCACTTTTTTCTCTCCATAGCTTTTCCTTGATGATCTCAATCACTCTTAGGCCTTCGGTGCTTTCCCTTTGGATAATCACCAGATCTCTCCTTTCTGCCTGTTCCGTGGAGGCCAGCTTTCTTGGGCGGGCCGCATCCGTGTGCCTTTCCCACCAGCACTTAAATCCGGCGGGGCCGGAATGAACGCAGTCTCCCCTCCGCACCAAGCCTGCTCCTCCTCTCCAGCGGGTGCACTCCCTTGCCAAACACCCCCCTGAACCGCGCCCCCTCCCCCATTCCTGCCATCATTTCAGCCAGCAAATATTTATCGTGGGTGGGTTTTGTCCCACACACTGCCACAGTGCTCGGTACATCCATTCAGCTTCCTAGTTGGGTCGCTTCCACCTTGAAAATCTCTTACGTGTCCACTCATCTAAATTCTCTACGGAGATTTATTGAGAACCCCTGGTGCTCGAACCGTGGCAACACAGCACCATATGCTCATTGGTTCTGCATGGTATTCATTCTCTGTTGCCCATCATACCGGGGGCGCAGAAGGGGCTTCCTTGGAAGCTTAGGGATCAGCCTGGCTGGGAAGGGGTTTGAAGGGGCAGAGACTAGATCTGTCTTGGAGTATTTGCATATGAAGAAAGGTGGTATGTTAGAGACCCATGAAACAGCCTGAGCGTGGTCATCCTCTTATTTCTGGGGTGTGGCTTCGGGAGGCTGAGAAGGTGTTGTAAGTCTGATGATGTTGAGAGCCGTCTCAGAGAAAGCCTGTCCACTTCCTACCCTTTGAGTACTCAGTGGCCGCTTGTTGGCTATATCACCTTCTTTGACACGGACCACAGATGTGGTGTTCTCCCTTGTATCCCCCCCAAAAAAAAACATCTGGGCCATAGTAAGGGTCCAATACATGCGTGTGGAGGATTCTAGAAAGGCAGGGACCGTAGATGTTTTAGTCACCATCTCGGGGAGAAGGACAAAGACTAAGGATACTCAGGGGAAAAAGAGTGCAAGACGTTTCCCTCTCCGTTCCTGCAGAGCTCGGTCAATGTTTGCTAAGCGATGCAAATCACTCTCCTGCACAACTCCAAAACCGGGCCCCTCGCTCGGCTGCCAGGCCCTGGAGCGCCGCCACCATCTGCCCAGGCCCGCCGTTCCCTCCCTGCCTGCCTCCCTCCCTGCCTGCCTCCCTCCCTCCCTCCCAGCTCCTGCTCCCGTTAGCTCCCAGCACACATCTGCACCCAGCACAAGCCAAACCATTACACGCCCCGCGTGCCGACCTCCAGGTCGGGGGCTCCCCGCAGGACTCCCCGGCCCCCTGAACCCCTAGCCCCCACCCCCGCCCCGCCGAGACCCGCGGCCAGCCCACGGCCGGGCCCGAGACGGCCGCCTGCTGCGGGACGTCGCGCATGTGCTCGGCCGCCCCCTTTCAGCCTCCGGCCGCCCGGGGTTGAACGCGGAGCCCGGAGGCCGTCCCCGCACGGGCCTGCCGCGCTCAAGGCCGGAGCGGTTGGAAAGGCGGCGAGGCGGGAACGGGCTGCAGCCGTGGGGCGCCACCGGGCGGGCGGCGGGGGCCCTGGGGGCAGCGGGCCGGGCCGACGGTCGCCGAGCGGCGCGGCCCGAGCGGAGGCGGCGGCGCCGCGGCCGCGGCGGCCGGCTCACTCACCACGGTTCGGCGGGGCAGCGCGCCGGAGGTCCGGGACAGGGCCCGCCGCAGCCTCCGCGCTCGGCCCGAGCGGGTCCCCTCGGAGCTCTCGGAGCCGCTGTCGTCCGAGATCACGATGAAGTCCTCCATGGCGGCGGGCGGCCGGCGACCCAGGCCGCGGCGGCGACGGCGACTTCGGTTCCTGCGGCTGGGGAGACGGCGGTCGCGGCGGCTACAAACCGGGCCATCCCCCAGCAGGCCCCGCCCCTTCCCGCCCAAGTCCCGCCCCTGGCCCCGCCCCTTCCCGCCCCCGAGGCCCGCTCCGAGCCCCGCCCCCTCCTGGGCCCGGCCCCACGGAAGGTGGGCTGCTGGCTGTTGGCAGGTGACCTCCAGGTCAAGGCCACGATCTTTGTGCTTGGTGGTGGCACTCGTCCTGTCTTCCCGAGGAGAAGAAAAAGAAAATCAAGCATCAGCCCGTCTGGGCCGGTGTCGAAGGCGGGGGGTGGGGGGCGGGTGAGAAACCACGCTTCCGACTGACTGCAGAGTGAAGGGAGGGGTGAACGGGACTGTGACTAATTCGGCCTCACTGATTGACCGCGGCGGGTCCGTCCCGCGGGGGACCTGGCATCCGGTTGAGACGGGGGCCTGGGTCGGGGGAGAGAGGCCCCACTTCTTGGTGCACACGTGCAACTACCTCTGTAAGAAAAATTCCTGGAAGTGTGATTACCGGGTCAAAAGCGACGTTTCCCTAGTTGTTTCAATAAACGAGGTTAAGTGACTCTCCTCAATTGTACCGATTTGCAATTTCACGAACAATCCAAGTCATTCAGAGATTTAAACTGTGAGATTTAGAGACTCGCTCAGTTGGTGGTAGGGTCGGAAACTACAGAAATACACAAAGAGAAGCCATACGGTAGTGGACGCTATGAATAATTAGATGTTACGAATGAACAAGGTTATAAAGATGAAAAAAGATATGCCCGGCAGAGGGGAAAGCGGCAGGTGGTTGGTTTGAAGGCAGGATCATTAAAATCGAGATAGAATCTGTGTTACAAAAAACGTGAGGTATTGGCAAATTCCTCCCTCTCAGGCTGCAGCAACTCGGGGAAATGTTAATATTAACAGATCCGAATGAAAATGTGTTTGTTAGAAGGGGAACCGGTTCCTAAGGAGACTGGTATCAGGTGCTCTCTCACCCGGAATCACAAGAGGAGGCCGGTTGAAGCACAGATCTCTGGGTTTCCACTCTGCAGCGTCTGGTTCAGGACTGGGAGGTGGGGCCCCAAGATTTGCGTTTCTAACAAGTTCCCAGCCACTGTTTACACTGCTGTCAGGGGACTATGCCTGGTGGTCCTGCCCTGGCTGGGTGGCTCAGTTGGTTGGACGGAGTCGTGGAGCATATCATGTGATCTGGTCCCATAACTGCGCAGCCACTTTCAGTAACTACTGGGGCCTCGCGCCAGGTATTAAGACTTAGGGCTGCCCATTTTAGAGCTTTAATTTCATATTCATAGCTCTGCCCTTTCTGCTGGTGCAGGTGGACACGTGGCTCCACTGCTCTCATTGGTGGGGTGATAACGTCATTCCCTTCCTCTCACCTTGGCTCTTGTTCCTCCCAAATAGGGATGAGGCGGAGGGGGAAAGAATGTTCTCTGCAACACTGTCCACGAAGAGTTGTTTGTTCTTTCTGCCCGTTGTTGCTACTTTAGTAACAGTCTTCCCCACCTATCAGGAACCCAGATGCCCTCTTTCTTGCTGGCACTGGGCGCATCATTACTTTCTGGGGCCTCCCCTGTGCACTCCCTAACCTGGGGAAGGTCAGCCTCAACCCCTTTCTCCTGGGCACCCCCACCAGTTCCTACCAGGGGCAATCATTTGTTGTTGGGGGATTGTGGCCTGGAGGGGTTTTGGGGAGCACCAGCAGAAGCTTTGCGTTCTCCAGCTGACTCACATCACCCAGGGGGCATTTCCACGCGCAGTTCAAGGAGGGAGGGAATGCAGGCGGCTCCCATCTCCATGCCCCGCTCTCAGCGCCAGCTTCTCTCTCCTTTCCTCACCCCCAAGGGCGTCAGGGGCTTGTCCGGGCCAACGGTTCGGTGACTTTCAGGCGAGTTCTCAGAGTGGGGAGTGAAGAGAGAGAGCGTTTGCTGCACTTCAAACTTTCTTCAGCTGGTCATGGATGGTTGTCATCCATAGTAAGCAATGTCCGTCCATGGAGAGATGAACTAATTGGGAAAAAATTCAAATATCTGCTTTTGTTGTAGAATTTACAATAAAGTGGTTACTACTAGTAACTGACTTGCAAGCACAAACACAGTGGTTGACCTCAGCGGGATGGTGCTTTGACCGTGGTACACATCTTTCTCACCAGCCATCCTGTCCGGCACTCAGGAAGCCCAGGGGTCCTGGCTGTGCAAGCGTGAGCACGCTTGAAATCTGCCTTGTCCTTGTCTGGCAGCCCGGGTGGATGAATGCTGTCCCGGAAGTCGCCTTTCTTAAAACTGTAAGTAATGTCACTTAGGATTCTTTGGCCATCCTGGATGTATCTTGAAATACGCTGTTGACCCAAGACATCCAAAACCATGGTGTGTTTTCCAGAAATTAGTGAGTGCATTTTTCTTTTCTTTTTTTTTTCCCCGAGTAATGCCTTATCTTTTCCAGGTTTGCTGAGGCATAATGAACATGTCACACTAGGTACGTTTAAGGTGTACAATGTGGTATTTCGATATGTGCATAGGTAGACTGTGAAATGTTCGCCACAGTAAGGTTAGTTAAATGTCCTTTTGCCTCACGTAATTACGGCTTTTAAATTGCTGTTGTGGTGAGAAGGGTCAAGCTCTACGCTCACAGGAACTTTCTGGTATGCAGCAAGGATCATTAACTGTGGTCACCATGCTATCCACCTGCTCCCGGTGCATGCGGGGGCTGAGGATGTCGCCGTGAGCAGGACGGCCATGGCCTCTGTCCTCGCAGAGCTTTGCGGTGAAGGAGGTCTCCTTATTCTGTGAGCGAAGAAAGCACGCCCTAATCCCTTCCTTTTTAAAAGTCACTTTTAATTGAAAATGTATGCGTGAAAAAATGATATGTGAAAATGCGAGTCAAAACTGCCAGGAGCTCCCACTTTGCACCCATTGGGGTGCCTATTATTTTTTTAAAACAGGAAACAAGTGCCGGTGAGGACGTGGGAAAATTGGAACCCTCATGCCTTGCTGGTGGGCATGTAAAATGGTACAGCTGCTGTGGAGAGCGTTTTGGCAGTTCCTCAAGAAGTTAGGCATGGAATTGCCATATGGCCCAGCAATTCTTCTCCTAGGTACGTGTGCCAGAGCACTGAAAGCAAGGACGCAAACATACTTGTCCATCAGTCTTTAGAGTGCCGTTACTGATCAGAGCCGGAAGATGGAAACGGGTGAGCCAAACTTGGCCTACCTACGCCACGGAGTTCTACTCAGCCTGAAGATCAGGAAGGCAATTGTCTGCTACCACATGGACGAAACTTGAGGACAGCGTCCTGAATGAAATGAGCTAGTCAAGGGAGAACAAATACCGCATGATTCTACTAATGATGCTAATTGCGTGATACTACCAGGAGGTGCCTTCCACAGGCAAATGCACAGAGGCTGAAAATAGAACGGGGGTTATCAGGGATGGGAGGGACGGAGAAGAGGGAGTTATTTAATGGACGGAATTTCCGTTTGGGACGATGGAAAGCTCTAGAAATGGATAGCGGTGCTGGTTGTACAGTGTTGTCCCTGCTCTAACGCCACTGAAATCGTACACTTAAATGGCTATCGTGGCAAGTTTATGTGCATTTTACTGCAATAAAGATATGTGGCTGTTTTCCTTTTATTAACAAGTTAAAATATTACAGACCATGTCAAAGACCCCTTTGACCACCTCCTCCATCCTGTTTCCATGTGAATTCCTCTAGAGTTTCTGTGTATATTTACCTGTTAATCCATATGTACTTATCAAAATGACGTTTTAAAAATCTTTTTTTTAAATATTTTATTTATTGATTTTTAGAGGGCAGGGAAGAGAGGGAGAGAAACATCAGTGTGTGAGTTGTCTCTTGCACGTCCCCTGCTGCGGGGCCTGGCTCACAACCCAGGCATGTGCCCTGAATGGGAATCGATCCAGCAACCCTTTGGCTCACAGGTGGGCACTCGATCCACTGAGCCAGGGCAAAATGACATATTTTTTGTTTTATCCAAAGAGTAGGTCTGCTTTAGTATAGAGATTTGAAAGTATCATTCACAGTAAAAATGTTGTAGGTAATAGGCTTCTGGCCTTGTTAATGGGGATTTTTCTGGGTGAGTATACATCTTTAAAAGGTTTTGTTTTTCATTTTCTCTTTCTCATGATATGGCAGGGCTGGTGCCTGCAGATCTGCTATTGTTTATGCCAACACTAGCCGGCTCGGATTTCTCCCCTGCCCTCGGGAACACCCTGTCCCCCGCCCCTGCTAGGTGCCAGGCAGCGTTCCCCAGTTTCTGGTCCCTCCGCGCTTGGCCGGGCTGCTCTGGCAGGGAGCCTCTCCGTGCACATCATTTCATTTATGTCATTTTCTTACCCTTTCCCCTTTTCCGTCCCAGCTTCTAGTTTGCTGTGATAGCAAGTAGAGGTCAAAGGCTTTGTAAAGATTTTGCTTTATCCTCAACAGTCAAAGACAACGCATGCTCCTTTTGAGAAAACGAAGCCTTTCAGAATGGTTACAATGCAGAAGGTGTAACCGCATCACACTTTGACAGCATCTTTCCAGACATTTCCGAGTGATCAATACTCACAGGTGCAAATGTGTAGATAATTTTATGTAAGTGGGATCATACAATACATAGTGTATGGCAACTAGCTTTCTTAAATTAAGAAATATGCCTGTATAGTTTTCTGTGTCAGTGGATAAAGATTCCCATGATCTACATTGTCCATTTTATTGGTCCATAGCATATTCTTAAAATAGTATGACATTTGCTCTTCTTTTATAGAAAATCACAAAGAAGCAAGTAAAAGAGTATATCACATTCTCCCATCCCTGATATCTTACAATGAACAGTTTGTAAAATTAAAAGAAACATATCTATGAGATTAGAAAATTTGTACTACATAAAGTTACAAAATAAAAAGTGAATCTTGAAATCCACCCTCCCTTTCCTAGCTCTTCCCAAGGTTAAATATCTAAATAAACAGAGTTTCCTGTGACTCCTTCAAAACACACAAAATTACTGTATACAGTATATATATATA